AACATTGTCCTCAAATATGACCTGCTTGATAGGCAGCTCTTTTGGCATGTTCCTTAAGTGCATTATGAGTTGGTGGGATTAAGTCATATGACCTCTGCTTCTGTGCAAAGAGATCAAGTCTCGCGTCGTCTACTGAAGAGGTTGCACTGGACCTTTCATACATGAGAACTACATATTTCTCCAATGCTTGTAAATCAGACTCCTCAGTTTCAGATGGGCAGTGACTGAGTTTTGCAAATGTGGCTGAAACTTCATTGAATACATTCCATGTCTGCCAGGCTGTCTTTTTTCCCTTGCCATTGAAACAAGACACAACATCACATCCTGTGAAAGCATGGAAGACCAACATTCCTTTGGATTTCTCTGGTCCAAGATTAGACACAAGGTCATGTATAGGAATCCACCTAGTGTGTTCCCCCTTTCCGAATCTGACCCACATTTGCTTAAGACCGATTGCAGTGAGAGAAGGCATCAGAGATATGGCAATTACTACAATGTGCGTGTCATTTGCATCAACCAGTATAGACTTGTAGCCCTCCCTAGCTGCATGCCAGGCATGTAAGAATATCCGTGTGTCAGCCTCCTCATGGGTACAGGGTGCCAATTCCTCCAAGCTCAAGTTGGTGTAATTGGCACAGGTGAGGACGTTTTCCTCCCTGATCACAAGGACTGCATTGCTTGTGGTCATTTCAGCTATGGCGTCGGCAAGGAAGTGGAAGAGTCCAGATTTGTTTGCTCTTTGTGATAAGTCTCCTGATGACCTTTCCTCGTTTAGATCTGTCTTCTGACTTCAGGCTAGTCTTATGGTATACATTGAAAATGACGTCTGTTCTCTTGTGTGTGTTGCTGTAGTTCTGCACCAAGGGAATAATATCCTTTTTGGCATATTCCTTAAATGTCTTTGCTGTGGTATTCACCAGTGAGGCCCCATCAACAATCAGTACATCAGATTTTCTCATGCTTGAAAAATTCTTGTAGATCACACCCTCTAGTTTGGCAAAAGATGAAAATGCGGGAGAACAAGTGGCAATCCTCCTTTGATAGTTTCTTCTCAGATTGTTTGCTTTGGCCAGACCCCGTATTGAAGGAGTCTATTCTGTTCTTCTTGATGGACTGGTAGAAATGTTGACCATCGTTCAGTTTATCCATAAATGTTTTGAACTTTTCTTTGCCCTTCTGAAGATGGGTAGCAACACGTTGGATTGCCCATTTCCTCTTTGACTAAGGTGAGTCATTGAACCTTCTCCAGGAATGTCTTCTGAGCTGCAGGTGACTGTTCATGGTGACGAGTGTCGCTCTTTACATCCTTACTCCCTGATGCTGTTTCGTAGTTGGCCACCAACTTGCTCATTTCTGCACCAGCCACCATCCATCTTCGAAGAGCTGCTGGATCCTCTGTCAGCCCAGTAGCTCCGCCATCTCCTTTGATGATAGCATTATTCTGTTCGCGGACTTGGTCAATAGCGACTGATGAGAAATACCTGTCAGATTTGTAACTACAAAGTTTCCATTTTGGAATTGTCTTGCTACCTCTGGGTGTTGCCTCTCTAAGCTCATCATATCTCGATGATGAACGGGAAGCCATAGTGCATAATTGACATTGTTGTTTGCAAAAAAGTATGGTATCAGTTTCAACAGAGATTCACAATACAGAGCAAAGTTTCCCTCTCTGAAAGCACGTATCAAAATGGTGAACTCCATGTTCAGAATCAAGAACCAGAACTGAAACTGAGGACTTTCTTTACTGCGGACGTCAAACTACTCGTCAAAGGGGTGACAGTTTCCTCACCACTGTCTTCCTGTTCAACAAGATATGCACTGTAACCTTTCTTCAACAGTTTGAATAAACTGCATGCTGTAACCTAATGGGCATGGCGAGTCTTTGTGACAATGGTACCTGATATAAATGAATCTGCATTGCCTGAAGATGCTATGTCGGCTTCAACGAGTGCGCCAGTCCGTCCACTGCTCTCCATCATTGACCCTATTGATCTAAAGGTTGTCATCTCAATATGTAGTCCACCAAACAATATTACAAACTTGTCCTCTTCATGGTTCAAATGTGACCTTATGTCCACCCCATGCTCAATACTCCAAACAAACTGCAGAAGTGCCTGGGGAACGGCTTCCTCTCGAAACCTTTCTTGGAATGCCTGGCTAAATTTTGTCTTGTGAGCCAGCATCTCTTTCCGGATGATACCAGCAGCTTTAGCCAGATGAATGGCTTCACTGTACTTGCTAGCATCTGACAGAACTGTGCTTACGTCTTTTCTAAATGCAAGAAGGACATCTCGCCCTTTCTTATGGGCTTCAAGCTCAGGGATCCTAGATAGTAACTGCTCCTTTAACCTGGTAGAATTGACCTCTGGGGATTCCACACCTAGTTGTTGTAGCCGACACTTGTAAAGTGAGGCTAGATCAGCAAGTCTAAATATCACTGGTACTGTTTCTGTACCGGTAACCATGCTCTCCATGATGTAGATGACAAGCTCGGAAAACACTACGGGATATATCTCTTTCCCTTGACCACTGTGATTCTCTTCTTGATTGATGGCATTAAGATGTGCTCTCTCTGAGTTGTATAAGTCTGCCAAGCATCGAGGGTAATACTTCAGCTCTTGGACAACAACATCACCAGCACTTAACTTTGCTAGGAGCTTTCCGTTGTTTAGGGTCCGGGCACGCTGATCAAGCCTTTCATTCAGTTGCTTGGTCATCGCCTGTGTTAAATTCTATATTTTATCCTCTTCTTCGCATAAGAAGCACTGTACTTTTGGAGGGTCTGAGGTCCTTTGTCTCTTCCCATGGTTCTCTTCTGTGCCTGATGTACTGGGGGTAACTGCCCTTTTCTGTGCTCTTGTCAGTTTTGTATTATTGAACAAAAGTCGGCAGCTATTGTGATATTTTGCTTTATTTCGTATCAGTGTGGCTTCTATGCTTTCTCCTTCATCTAGCCGTGTTAGGTTAAATGGTATTGTCATATCATTAAGGGCATGAAACAATGGCACATTTTTTGCAATTTTATTATATCCATCATAGTCCTGTTTCCTCTGGAATGCGGTAAGAGGTGAAATTAGAGTTTCATCCCTTTCGTCCACTTGACAACATTTACTCCAGTCAGTTTGCTGTCTTGTTTTGGCATCCATAGTAAGAGTTGTTGAAGTGGTGTAGTCCGAGGGTTTACCCTTTTACCACCTTACCACCTTGCTCACTTTGATGTATGGGGTACAGTTAGCTTCATGCTGCTGCCCTACACCTAACCCGATCGTTCATCCAATATCTTTTAAATCCCGTGCGATCTGTACACCATCCGGATAACAATAAAGCCCCTGTTATCCTTCGCTCGGCTCTCCCATGCTGGCACATCCTGTCCATTCCGGTGCGGCTATCCAATCCTAGGGGCTGACTAGATAGCATTTGGGATACTAAACCGGAGTTTAGCTGATATTGAACCCCATGCTGATTTCCACAGCAGTGTCTGTCACTAGCGTGCCCTGGTCGTGAGCGACATACACTCTCTTGATAATATTCTACACCACATGCTTACGTTCTGATGAAATGCTAGGTAAGTAACTTTGGCCACGATAATCGCGAAACTCTGGGGGTTATTTGTTTGTTTTTGTTTCTTCTTTTTTAAATCAACATCCGGTAAGTGTTTTCTGTCCCGTCAGAACTAAATTAATAACTTTTTGTAATTTATTCAAAGGAAAAACACCTTTCCTCATTTCTCTCCCTAACAGTCTCTGACTGTATTTGTCCGCCGGTGAGTCCGTGTTTTCAGTATGTGTAGATCTCAACACCATACTCTTGCCAAGATTTATTCCGTCTTTGTCTCTCTATACATCTCTGTCTTTCTTGGTCTCTATCTATCTGTCCATTCGTCCGTATCAAAGTAGGTACGTCCATTTCTATCCGTCTCCCTCTCTGTGTGTATGTCTGTTTATTTTTCCGTTTGCGTGTTTTGGTGTATTTATGTCCGTTCGTCATCGCGTCTTTTGTATTGTCTCTCAGTCCGTCTTTCTCCAATTATGTCCACCATCTGTGTTTCTGTGTTTGTCGCTACACGTCTGCATATATGAACATCATCAAAGCCGGATTTTCCTTCTTGCGTTTCCTGGCGATTTTATCTGTTATCCTTAATGTTTGGAAATATGCTTAATAATGGCGTTGATGCCTTCCGTCTAGTCATCACACTGTTGTTCTCAATCATTGTATATGTGCAAGAAAATATAACTGAACGCCGTCCATCATCATTGTAAGATTATCACTGTAATAAAGATATTGTTTATACATTAACAACATTTACAAACAAACAAAAAAATCATAAATATATTTTAAAGACAAATTAATTTCAGCCAAACCATGATTATTTTATTGTGCAACAAAAATACACATACAAATATTTGCGATAAAGATTTATTTATTTTCAACCATATATATAGGAACAAGAAGATATATAGACTTTAGGAAGCAATATCTACCTCATTGAACAGTATGAAAGAGGTCCGCAGATTGGTCCGTTTCTCAGCTTCATGATAACAACAAATTACAACAGGTGAGCAACACTTTATAAAATTGCATATTATACTTAACATTTACTATTTGGCTCCATTTCTATACTGATTTAGCAACTGTGACTTGACCCGATGGTGATGAGGTCATGATAGTATTGACGTCACGATTCTTAATTAAGATTGACCAGAACACATGTGGGTATATAATACAAATCGATCAAGAAAAATAGGAAACTCTTGACCGGATAAAGAATTAAAATAAACACACATCACAGAAAGTCCCAGGCCAGGACCGTAACTGTTAATACTCCTATTTGTTCTTGATTTCAGCTCCAAGTAAGTCATCTGATTCAGAATATAAGTCTACTGACCGAGGTGATTGTTTCTACCACTTGTAACTGATAACTTTAAGTATTTGATGTTGATGTCATCATTACACCGTATACACCAGTCTGACGTCACTGGTGTTATAACTGTTTACAAACGTTACAGTAGCATGACGTGTACAGTACCGTCCATACATCCGATCCACACGTTCCCAAACTTGTCCACACTCACAGCTGTAGGTTTAACCACTCCATGTTTCTGATCCAGAAGGCACTTGGCTTGTTTCTCATCGCTCGGTAGGACGTACACCTGGTTGTTTCTGTAGTCTGGTATAAATAGTCTGTCGTACTCGTCACACGACATCTTACGTAGGAAGATATCGCGAGCTGTTCGACCGTTGTCCAGTTCACCGGTCCATCTTTGTTTTACCGTATTATATGACTCGTCTGTTATGATTATTTCCCTACTTCCCCAGTCACCTACCACCACGCCCAGGCGTCCTGATGACAAACTGGTTATATTAAATGATCTATCCTTCCAACAGTAAAACGTCCTTACAATCGTACCTGACTGATTCAGTACCACTATGTCTAGTGTCGCGATACAAACTAACACCTCGCCTATCTTGTTACTGATGTCCCTTGCTTGATGTGGACTGGTGTCGGCAAATGTTGTCACTTGTTTGTTGTGTAGTGATAATTTATACACGAATGTACTACATGGATTGCTAGTAATAAGTACGTCTGTTGTCCCTATCATGGCGATTGTGTACGGACGGAAGTTCAGTTCCACTTCCTCTGTGACCACGCCATCCATGTCGACCAGGACCAGACCTTTGTGTTCGTGTATTGATAACCACGCATGGCTGTCGTCCACTGGACATATACCGAATACTGCCTTTTGTTGAGTAACAGTAAACCTTGAGAGTCGTTGAACGTGGTTACTGTCGATTTTGATCTTCTCATAATAATTCAGGAGGCGTAATACACCAAACATGTCCTTCAACAGATCGCGGTCAATACTTCCGTCAGCAAAGCTTGACTCTTTTTGTGAAACATTTCCCGCCTTTAAGTCATAAAGAGGCAGATTTGACCTCAGTAACCTTTCTGTTTCAAACACGGATACACTTGATATATTCGTAACTTGCGTTTTTTTCAAGAAGACGCGTCAGTTCTTCAGTCTTCTTCTCGAAATGTTGACAAATTTTATTACACTGGGCCAGCAGTTCTTTCTCCAAGGTCGACAACTCTGCCAGCATTTTATCTGCGATATCATCTAATTCGGCCTTAAGTTTAATCCTCCTAAAGTACACCTCTTGTCGCGTTCTTCTAATATTGACAACTTTATCTTTCTTAGCACGATGTAGCATTGACGTCTTGTCCTTGAAATGTGCTATTTTTATTTGTTGTTTTTTCAATATAAGTTCGTCTTCCAAATGCTTCCAATCGTAGTGTTTATGTGATTGTGAAAGACACATCAAACAAAACAACATGTCACAATCACAACAGTACACGTCACATAGTTTACCGGGATGTAGTTTTTACATACCTCCAGGACAGGTTTGGCATTCTGACGGTTGGCCTTCCCTATCGACACGACGTCATCGTTTTTAGTTTTCTTCCCTCGTGTATGGAATTAATTACATCGGTCACAGAAAGCCTCCTGACAGTCATTACAGAACCAGTTTACATTGTCTTTAATGTCACACAATGAACAAGAGTAAGTAACGTGTTCCTGTGCCGGCCATAATGATCTGGAACTCGCCATAATGTCCACTGTTTATTGTGATGTACTTTACTCTTGAACGGGAAGTGTCGTCATTTAGTATCTCTTACAGGTACATCACGTGATAAGTGACGACCTATGGAAGTTTACCAATCATCATCTGCATATCTATGTGCATACATGTGTATCAGGTGACATGTGATGGCCGGGCCGAACTGATAACAATGAACTTTTTATTGGTCAGGAGGCGTTTTATTTATACACAAAGTATTTGTGTATTAGAATGTTGCAATTCTTGGTTTATAGCGAATAAACAAAAGGACCGCTGGGTGGGTTCTCACGGCATTATTTTGTCCCATAATAGAATTTATTACTTGAAAAAATGGCCGTCATATTGGATTTTTTGATGGCCAGCACCTTTTTCTGAAAAAGTGACTTACAAAGAATCACCAACTGAACGATTATGCCAAAAAATCATCTTTAGCTGCTTCACTATCACGTCTACATCGGAATCAGTCTCGGCTCCCCAGAATTTTATATCAATGGGCCGCTTATGTCTACATGGGAATCAGTCTCGGCTCCCCAGAATTTTATATCAATGGGCCGCTTTTGTCTACATCGGAATCAGTCTCGGCTCCTCAGAATTTTATATCAATGGGCCGCTTATGTCTACATGGGAATCAGTCTCGGCTCCTCAGAATTTTATATCAATGGGCCGCTTATGTCTACATGGGAATCAGTCTCGGCTCCTCAGAAGTTTATATCAATGGGCCGCTTATGTCTACATCGGAATCAGTCTCGGCTCGTCAGAATTTTACGTCAATGGGCCGCTTATGTCTACATGGGAATCAGTCTCGGCTCCTCAGAATTTTATATCAATGGGCCGCTTATGTCTACATCGGAATCAGTCTCGGCTTATCGATAAGGTTCCAATGACGAATGATAACAATTGTTTTCGATAGGATTTGGGTCCTACTACGTGCCCGATTTCCAGTCATGAAATCCTAATTTTGTGCCAATTCAAACATAAAATTCCCAATAATTATCGGTAGCTTAAAAGTATTTGATATCTTCAGATTAAATGTCAGCTCTAGGTTCAGATGGTTGTAGTTTTACTTCAACAATGTATATCAGTCACAAAGGAGAGAAATAAACATGTTAGTTATGATTAAACTCAAATATCATTGTGTTTTGTTATTTTTCAGCTTATTGTAGATTTTGTAGCACTTTATAAAGCTGGATGTATTTGATACCCGTTAGTTTGCTTGTTGGTTCCGTTGTTGCATACCTTGTTCTCATTTGAGAATGTGACATTACTTACTTAGATTGACCAAGGTATACATGGCGGGTGTCTTCGCTTACTCTTCCGGAACACCTGATCTTATTCTCCCTGTACTTCATTGTTCATATTTGCCCTAGTTTTATGGCATTTGAGTTTGAATTATGATTATCTTTTCATGTTGTTTTTTTTTTCAAAAAAACCATGAGCCATTATATGCATAAATTGAAAGGAGCCATTTTTCACAAGGTGTAACGCAGGTTTCTAAAACCAAACCTCTGGTCTGAAAATGACACAAATGATAGTATCAAGGTACAAAAGTACAGAAAATATAGCGGAACCAACACGTCCTTTTCGAGTCCGGAACGTTTTATTACTACTGTATTTTCACACTTGCTTTTTCTATAAAATAAACATTCGTTGAGTCAGTATAAATTTAGAATCGGATACACTACAGTCAAATACTCGTAATTAATCCAACTACTTTATACAGCTGTTTCGTTCTTCTAGGACTCGTCAGTGATGTAACATCATACAGCTGTTTCGTTCTTCTAGGACTCGTCAGTGATGTAACATCATACAGCTGTTTCGTTCTTCTAGGACTCGTCAGTGATGTAACATCATACAGCTGTTTCGTTCTTCTAGGACTCGTCAGTGATGCTACGTCATACAGCTGTTTCGTTCTTCTAGGACTCGTCAGTGATGTAACATCATACAGCTGTTTCGTTCTTCTAGGACTTGTCAGTGATGCTACATCATACAGCTGTTTCGTTCTTCTAGGACTCGTCAGTGATGCTAAGAGCCTGAAGTTTGGAACAAACGAAGTGACTGAGAAATATCAGAATGCACCGAAAGAGAAGTCAAAATATGAACTGGGAGATAAAAGCGCCGCGTAGTTCAACGAATTTCGTAAAATACACATATCAGATAATTTTAAAACAAATGTACGGGTATTCTGAAAAAAAAAGGTTTCTTCAGCCTGTGGAACCACAACGTCCACCAGCAGTATCTTGTGGAGCGTGCGCAACTCGTGCACGATAACGACATTATTTTGTATTGGTTTCTGTTTTAATGAAATTTCATTCCGTAACTCATCTGATATACATGTTGCTAAAACAATTCTACCGCCTGGAAAATCATATCATATCGACAAATTAAATTTCAATGAGCAAAGTTGTTTATAATGAGAAGTATATATTTGAAAATAAAATAGCGGTACGGAATTTTATTAACGACAACGTTTTATCATGCCAAAAATTATAACTAATAAATTCTTTCTACAAAATACTGATTCAATTTACAATAGTTTTCCCTGAAAACGCCGATTACTCTCTATCATGATAAATAGATGGCATTGTTTTACTACATATTCGAAAAACATTCCTGGTGCAACTGACTCAATCAGCACAAAGTGAAAAATGTAAAGCGCTCCAACTGGGAACCATGTTATGAAAAAATTTGGCCGGGTTGTCTTTTTTATGTCTAGTAATCTCATTGGAGATATTATATTCCTTACATCGAAATTATATGACAAATTCTAAGGCCTCTCTCGTTTGATTGCGAAGTAGTTTGTATAGCATGGATGCTTATGTAGAGCTGGAATTGACGGGTGAATATCCAGAATATACAACAGGAGGCGGCGAAATTTTGTGGTTTCATATTACAGACGTATTGTATCAGTATGTTTATTGGGGTGCCAATTAGAGACGAGAGTGTTATTCTACCGGACAAGGACATGTCTACCAAACTATTTATAGATAAATTTCTGAATTCTTCAGGCCATAACTTAAACAATACTTGGCCAATCTCGTTCACCAAACACTCATTTGAAAGATAGAACTCTTAAAAGTGACGTAATAGTTACTAAGATCTTTGGGCTCTAAGATATATATATGTTTAAAAATGTGTAAAATTTTCCCTTCTCAAGAGTAACACCTCTTATCACTATAATACATATATAAGGACAATGGGTCTGGAATTCGTGTCAAGTCCCTGTGGTTGATTATACAACACCTAGTGATAACGATAGAGCTACAAAGACAGAAAACCCAGCCCACCAGTAACCGCCCAAACCAGTTGACAGATCAACTGGCTCCAAGCTGGAATGCGTACTGCATTGTCCTATGCGACCTGCTTATTGCTGCTTATTTTTATTCGTGGTGACCTTTGGATCGCTCAGGTTACTCAGCAACCCTTGTCTGAAACTATCTCGAACTTTCGTTATCGTATAACTGAGTTTGGGTAGAGTAAGATATTTCATTCTCATACTTGGATATATCTGTCTATCATCTACAAAGAGCAAAAGAATTATGTAAAATATCCGTGTACAGAGTCGCCTTTATCATGATTATCATTGCCGTGACTGTTGTCAGTATGTATACATGCTAGGTGGTTTAATACAAATTTGGTTATCGCGTCCCTCTAATCACAGTTTTCTGGGCATTTCATTAGAGAACAGACTTTGTATCATTCTAACTGAAGAATCTTATCATCACGATGCTAAGATTAGGAACCACGAAATCAAAAATTGATACCAGCACGTTGGTTAAAGATATCTCACCAGACTGTACGCATTGTAAAACAGAAGAGACGCGATGAGATTAGAATTGTTCTATGTTACAATAGATTCCGGACCAGGGAGCTCTCATTGCCGAATTCAAAACATAAAAATCCAATATACATCCATCAGCCAGGTTTTAACGTCACGTGAAAATGAAAGACTAATATATAGACTGCCCGTTGGATTTATAAGAAAGGTCGACTATTTAGATAAAATGTTAACGGTAATCAGGAAGATCAAAGGGAGACAACTCCCAAACATCAGAAACTTACACAACACTATTAACAACGGGTAGTATTCACAGCATACCCAGGAAGACTGTGCCAGAGAGGATTACTACTGATTCTTTCATTCATTGGTGTATACTGACACCTCATGCATTATGTGGTGTTTTTTTTTTATGTTTTTGTAGAGTATTGCTTTTCATAAACTGTTTAATTGAATTGCGATCTTTAACTCAGTTAAATTAATTTTATTTGATTAAATCTACATCCATTATGTATCAGGGATAGGTAACGTATATTGAACGTATGTAAATCACATATCCTACATCGGAACCCGATTGCTACAAATATCACCATGTTTCAGCTTTGAAGCGAAAATGTTGCACTGTAGTTTGTTAATTCAAATCTGAACACCTCTCGATAGGTTGCTTTTATGTGTTGCAATGAATTTTGATTGAAACAACATTATACACACAAATGACTTTAAACCACAGAAACGATTTCATGAAACCCATATGAGAAAAATACCAAGGGTTGGAAGATGGGCGTGTCTTTGTTGTAAAAATGAAAGTACATTTATTCAACGCGGACTGGATTGGTTAGACTGCAGGTGATCGGAACATCGAAAAATGCAGATTTAGGTAGTCACTTTTCAGTTTCTATCATCGCAACACAGTAAAATGTTAAAATGGATTGTTTTTTATTCAGTGCTATGTATTTAGCCAGTAAGCATTGCTTAATCCCAGTGTGAGCTTTTGTAACGATTATACGTAATTCATAGAAAATATAAAACACATACTGAAGGCGTCATCTAACACTGTAATACGGGTTATCTGTCTTATGACATTTAACGTACAGCGGAACACTAACGAAGACTTACTTAGCTTCCCCTATAAAAGATCAGACCTGTGTAATGTATACTGTCTGGAGGGTTCTTTTAGTATAAGGTGAGGGGTGCAGGGTTTATAGTATGGAGATACCTTGATTTTTACAATGTTAACCTATTTATTCTGAAGTGCACATCTGAAAACCCTCATTAAAATACTGGGAACATGATTGTCATTTTTAGCTTTCTGGGAAATATTATTTACATTCCTCACAAACACAAACATGTATCATGTTCAATATTTGTAGAGAACTATTGTACATATATGATAGTATTTTTTAAATGTTTACATTATAATGTAACGGTAGCAAAATGGTAAGCTCTCCGCTCACGACTCCAAAGATCCCTGGATAGAATGTCCCTATTGCCATCGTATTTCTGATTAAACTATACGTACCTATCAGTACCCACACGTGTTTTTTTAAGTTCTATTTTACAAAGTTAAAAGGTTTTTATTACCAAATAAGTAAATTAGACTACACGTGTACACGTGATATCGGATCTTTCACGATACTAACTTGTATATCCAATCATGAAGAAAAAGAACCATTGTTTAACTACATGGCGATCCGAAATTTTACTGGTAAATTCAATGTTGAGAGCAGAGCACTTGGTCCAATTTTTTTTTCAATATTACGGTATCATCGCAAGCTTGTACCAATTCTCGAGGATAGTGTTCAGGTAACATCTGATCACACGGAGTTATGTTCGGTTGCCTAAAAGTTAGTACATGTGTGCGCTGAGTGTCAAAATTACATCAGAAACTGGGGAAAGCCCCTATGTTCAGTACATATTATGTCAGGTAACAACATTGACTATTTGTAAAATTAACACATGTCACATGTCCAAGAAGTATTTTCTCATAATTGGTATTTGGATTTGATTAATTGAAATTGTCTTCCGAATTGATCGAAATAGAAAAGTCTTTCAAAGACTTTTCTATTTCGATCAATTCGGGGAGTTTTTTTTTTTTTTTTTCAATTTTACCGTTGGTCACATTTAGGTTGAACCTCTTGGTCCTTATTCTGTTGGCATTCATATGTTCATGAATGCTATCTGAAAGCAGTTCAGTATATAAGAAATAGTTCCTGCATGAATCCATCACCTGTTCATGTTTGGGATAAAATAATTTCACATTCTGTAAAGGACAGTAATTCGCCGAATGGTCTTGTTTTATTCTTGACCAATACTTAACATTGTATATAAACAGAGAATATATCTTCTAGTAATGTCTCATCGCCATAAAAACCGTTTGATATCTTGGTTAATGTCCCTGTGGTTGTTTGTTCGAGTTCGCTCGATACACGAACATAACTGACAAATGGTTTCACAAAATCACTTGAGTTTGAGAATGAGAGAGAAATATAAGTAAAATTGCTCAGAAAATGAAAAGTAATTCGCGTCTTCGAGACACTAAACCGATCAAAGGTACGTAAAACGAGCCGTGCAGGAGAGACACAGTCGCTAGTCACGTGTTATATACCACAAGGGCGAGCAGGCACAAAAGTGGGCGGATCCAGACAGTACGCAGAACAGCTCTAGACAACAGGTACGTACAATTTGTGTAACAGTCGAATTTTCATGGTTTTGATGCTAACACGAAAAGTTGGCACATATTTACATGGTTTAAGTAAAGCAACTATGATAGCTTTCTGGGTAACGAGATATATAGAGGTCTGACGGAGTTGCGGCACGCCTGTTAGTGTAGCCAGGACATAGACTTGCCGTGGCAGAGGCCTACAGCTATATCTCGGCGATGTTGTAGCGGCGCGGTGTGAACTTTACACATGTGTGAACTGAATAGTTTTCAGGTCACTGGTCCACTGAATGTGTGTGGGTACTTAAGTCTTACTGATGGCAAAGGTGAAGAGAGTCGATCTTTCAAACCAGTCACAATTTATTTATTTTTGGGACTGTGGAGTTGATTAGTGAGTTGTATTCAGAATATGTATATATATATACAACAATAAATAATTATCTACATTGTATATAAAAACTAACAATAATTCGGCAGTCGTCTTCTTGTAAGTTTCTCAACAACATTCGTTCGTTTGTGAAAATTGGTATATAAATAAAAGACTCTAAATTTAAAAAAAAAAACATAAATTTTGCCTGTGTTGGTATATTTGTTGAATCACTTGCCAAAGCGTATTAACTTAAGGTATATAGCCCCTTGTCGTTAGTGTTGTCTTCTCGCGAAGGAGAGTTCCTTTTTTTCATCTTGACAAACAACTCTTGATGGTCCTTCTATTTGGTATCTGTTTTTTCTCTTAATCTTTATGTTTATGGGTCATTCATTGGAATATACATTCAGTATGGAAGGGATGACATGCATATTGTCTACCTTCTTTATATATAGTCACAACTATAGCCCGATATTGACAGCAGATTTTGTCTATCGTGTACAATAATACAATGGTTGGCTTTTTCTAAAGAAAGGTGAATTTTAGCCTCCGATTCCAAATCGTCCTACGTCCGTGGTCCGCTGTCCGTCCATCCTTAAACAATTTTTGCTATCGCCATTTCTTGAAACGTAATGGATGGGTCGTTCTCATATTTTACATGTCGGTTCCTAGCTGTACATTTTGGGACAGATCGACAGATTCGTTGACAAAATGATAAAAAAATATTTTCATCTTCTGGCCTGTTTATAGATTCATTTGATGGAGACACATTTCTCTAAAACTATCACATAAAGACATTCATTGATAATGTGCATTTCGTTTTTAATAACATAACTAATCTTACAGATTCGTTTACATAACAAATATTATAGACTCGTCTTCAGTTACATCACAGATCTTACTGACTCGTTTTCAGTTACATCACAGATCTTACTGACTCGTTTTCAGTTACATCACAAATCTTACAGACTCGTTTTCAATAGCACAACTAATCTTACATCCTCGTTTTCAGTTTAATGAAAAATCTTACATCCTCGTTTTCAGTTTAATGAAAAATCTTACATCCTCGTTTTCAGTTTAATGAAAAATCTTACATCCTCGTTTTCAGTTTAATGAAAAATCTTACATCCTCGTTTTCAGTTTAATGAAAAATCTTACATCCTCGTTTTCAGTTTAATGAAAAATCTTACATCCTCGTTTTCAGTTTAATGAAAAATCTTACATCCTCGTTTTCAGTTTAATGAAAAATCTTACATCCTCGTTTTCAGTTTAATGAAAAATCTTACATCCTCGTTTTCAGTTTAATGAAAAATCTTACATCCTCGTTTTCAGTTTAATGAAAAATCTTACATCCTCGTTTTCAGTTTAATGAAAAATCTTACATCCTCGTTTTCAGTTTAATGAAAAATCTTACATCCTCGTTTTCAGTTTAATGAAAAATCTTACATCCTCGTTTTCAATAACATTACTTATCTTACAGACTCGTTTTCAGTTTTATTACAAATCCTACAGACTCGTTTTCAGTTTTATTACAAATCTTACAGACTCGTTTTCAGTTTTATTACAAATCTTACAGACTCGTTTTCAATAACGTTACAAATCTTACAGGATGTTCACTGTCTTGGAATATTAATTATTAGTACCTAGTCGGTTTAGATTGACGTCATCAATGCAGTATAGGTTAAGCTCCAGCTGATTTTTTCTATGAAAATAATTATAACTCCTAAAAGTTCCTCGTTACATCCACTAACATAATTATAAAGTTTATAATTCAAAACCACAAAAGAATATGTGTTTTAAATCCTTTTACACATAATAGAACATTGGTGGGGATTATGCCTTAAAGATAATAAAGTATATACATTTGCCACAGCTACATCCGTCCATTTGGCGATACTTTAAACTTTATTAAATATTTATGCGAGGAAATTAACGTGATGTTTTATCGTTAATTTCAGTGAAATGGGAAAGAACAGGACAATACCAAAGAAGGTGGGCAATCGATGTCCGATGTGTGCAGCGAGATTCGAAGATAAGGATGTTTGGTCGAAGCATCTTGTAGACTGTGGCAACAGACAAATGATATTGAAGAAGTTTGAGTGCCCTGGCTGTGATTATGCTGCCGTGAAAAAGTGTGATTTAGACAGACATCAAAAACGGTCTGGACATAGTGAACCTCAAGGAACGTCAGACAGTGAGGAAGACTGGGAGGAACACGACCAGGGTTACATTCTCAGCCCCCAGTCTGTGAAACAAGAACCGGAATGGAGTGTCACATTCAGTCAAGAAGAAGTTGATTTGAACGAGGACATAATTGGTAGCAGTAATAGCGCGGTGCCTTGCTCGACATCAGAGGCGCTCGATTCAACGATAAATAGCAGTCATGATACAACTAGCAGGAAACGGACGTCTTCGACGTTACCTATAGCAACTAAAGCAAAAATAGCTAAAACAAGCGGCGACATGACCACGACTGAGAGAAATGGGATTACTTTAGTGGATGCTGTTACACAGACGGAGGCACCGATCAAAAGTAAGATGAGGCGGAAGACTGTTACTTATCACGAGGGAGCTAAAACCATTGAGGAGATTGTTGAGGAACACTGGACGGAATATTAGCATCGTGAAATAGGTGGGAAATATTCCCAGTAATACCCGACAGAAATCTATAGCAATTATATTACTCTAAAAACTATGGATTTTGCTTCAGATGAATGAATGAATGTTTTTTGACACGTGATATTGAATCATAGTGGCTTTCCGTGATATAGAATTGGAATTTCATTTTTTGCATTTTTTTTTCAATTATTCAATATCGATACAGATATTTGATATCTTCTTAAGGAAAAGTAAACATATTTTCATCGGTACTGCTATTTGACCATTTGTTATATATTGCTCGAGGCCGGTGATATATTGCTGACGTCTTGAAATCAACGTTCTGTAATAATTTTCATCTATGATGTCACATGACAATGTACCGTACATTATAACTTTTTCGTGAAAACATGCCTTGCTGATTCCAGAGAAGAACAAACACAACGCATTAGATTATGAAATGACGTCACACAGTCACATGTTGTATTGTAAAATTAAGCCTGTTTCATTTGTCCACGAGTTTGCTTTCTGGATATCAACATTCCTGCATCCCCAACCTATGGTGTTTACTTATCACAAGAAGTCCCTGATTCTACAGAATATAAATCGATAAAGATAGATAATACATGTAAGTGTTAAAGATTGAACAGGACATTTTTGTTTTCCAAGCTGTGATAGCATACCTTGCAAATGTTGTCGTCTGCAACATTTTTTTTCTTTTAACTTCCGCTGCCTGACAATGAACATCTCAACAAGAGGGTGTCCACTGTGAGAACAGAACTGCTTCATGGCCAAGTACTTGATGCCATGGTTACTGAAGCTCATAAGAAACATTTCATGATAACTTAAAAATGGCTTTCACCCATTTCGAAGCCAACCGGTAGACGCCCGCAGAACTCAGTAGAGACGTTATTCCTCCGCGTAGCTTTAGTGTTGGAAAAGATGGAGTCAATATTTGGCCCCTACATAGATTTCTATTATTTTTTCGCCATATGTAGATACATGAAAATAACCTACAACCGCAGAAATGATAAGTCATTATAACTATAGTCATACTGGACCTCCTTGTATAATACCAGGTTGAGTGACAAATGTACCCTAACATAATGACAAATACTTGCTACATGAGAATATTTTAAATGAAAATATTTATACCAGCCTAAAGTACATAAAATGTCCGTTAATTTGATACCACATATGTCATATTGGCATAAAAATTAAGCATATTGATAACTTTGATTTTAAAAATGCAAAATTTTCACAAAATATGGAAAATATTAAAGTTTGTCAAGTTCATTTTGTATAGTTGCAATCTCAGTCTATATTTCATACTTCTTTAAAAACTTTTTACGTATATATCCTGTCTATTGAATAAATTTTAAGTGATTTCAAAACCGGTAAAATACATTTTTAGCAGTTTAAACATGCTTATTGCATAATTTGCCATAATCATGAAGATTAAATTTTCGTTTTTTTTGTGCCAAATACTGCTATATTTTCCAGTTTTGTGTAGTACCAAACTACCACTAATCTCTGCTGAGAAATTATTTTATGATGGCAATTCACATAAAAGATGTGTCATATGTGGAAAAGAGGGCACTGGGCTATGCACTATACCCCAGCGTGCCAGGACAAACTTGATATTTTTCCATTTTCTATGGTGTCCCCCTGAAGCTCGTGTTTGCAATAACCATGTAATTGGTGACTTTCTGAATCATTCTTTGCCACTAGATCTGCAAACAAGGGAACCGTTAGCTCTTCATCTTCAAGAAAGAGCTAATCAGGCTATCAATGACCTTCTTGAACTAAGCCATTTCCTTTCTGCTGGTACTCCAACCAACATAGGCATAGATGTAGACCATCTCAGAAATGAACAATTCAAAGCATGGACTGGTTACACACTTGAACAAATGTAGCAAATCCATAGAATTTGCTCCTCACACATCAATAGAGGATCATGTTCCTCTACATTCCATGCTTTGTTTCTTTTCAGGGTTAAACTGAAGACCAAATATTTCATGGTCTCAACTTGGTGTCTTGTGTGGTCTGACAAAAAAAAAGAAAAGAAAACAGTATGTGTCTCACACATTTCATAGTGTCTTAAAAGCCTTGAGCCAGATCATTGTGCCCCGTTTCCTTGGTCCAAGACACATTACCCGCGAGGACGCTAAGTGCCACAACACTGCCTTTACAAGATGTTTCAACGGGGACAAAGTAACTGTAATCCTTGATGGTACCTATATTTATGTCCAAAAAAGTGCTGATCACCCCCTTCAAAGATCCTCATACTGTGGGCAAAAGAAGCACAACTATGTTAAATTCATGAGCATTGTCTTTCCAGATGGTTATGTAATAGACACCATTGGGCTTTTTTATGGCAATGAAAATTATGCAAATATCGACAAAATTCTCGGAACAGATGAGAACCTGACCTTGTGGCTCAGTGAAGATGACAATGTGATTGTTGACCGGAGAACTGGTTAAAGTAGCTACTGCTTCCTTGAATGCTGTACGTGGACCAATTTATGTGTCCGCGCCAGAGAGGGACTTGAGGGACCGTTGCCTTGCTGAGCGAATGCAATTCCGTTTGGCTCTGCCTAACACCTTGGCCTCAAGTGTTGCAGATGAACCTGACCTTTCTAGGCGCAACAAGGTCAGCTGGGTGAAACTTTTTGTCTGTTCAATAGAGTTTCCAGTACTGGAAATGGAATATTTAGAAACAGTAACTTGCGGATCATACCAGTTAAAAGTAGCACCCAGGTATATTGCTGAGCACCTGACTCCTGCTGGAGACTTTGAAGTTTGGGTCTATCAGCATGATGAAAATCTTCTCCGATGCCAAATCCATTCAAGGCACAAATCACAGTCGAAATAAAATGTTTGGATTGCGTTTGACTGAAATGATCAAGATGACCCTGTCAAAAATTACTACTGTGTCTGTCTGTCCAGCAGGCAAGCGGACCATTGGAATGTGTGCACATGTTGCATGCATTTTGTATTTCTTGAGCCATGTTCAGTATCAAGATCAAACTAACCCAGTTCATGCAACACTCACGTTCAAACAAGCAATCACTTGAGCAGTTCTTCTGTACTAAAACGCAATGTAATGTGCTGCAAACTGCAACTGTTTTATTTTCTCAAAGTGCCACAAATTATGGATCGGAACTGACAAAGGCAAAACCCGTCAATATTATTGTACATAATCTATCTAATAAGGTCACTTTATTGGCCTTCACCAAAAGATTTGTATAAAGCTGCTAACTAAATCTTCAAATTGTGAAACTTGCACAAAAATGTCTTTATTTTAACAAATTTCATTTGTATGACCTTGAACAGAGGTCAAGTTCAGCAATGTTAACCAAAGTGATACAAATTGACATGAACAACCACCTTGTCAAATAGCAAGACCTACAGACTTTTGGTTATTAAGCTATCACTATTTAACGAAAATGAAAAAAATCAGTGTTTCTTGGTTTTTTTTATAAGAAAATGTGTAAAATGACAAATTAACCGGGTTTCATTTTTTTCCAAGAATGCTCCCTTTCAAAGATGTCTGTGGCCAACTTTCAAGCAAGTATGAAAAATAGAATGGTTTCGGAAGTATGAAAATTGAAGTGTCCAAAACAGTACTTTTCTCAAATAGTGTGATATGTGGTATCAAAATGTTGGTTGGTACAATGTGCACACATTAATGACATAATTTTATTGAACTTGCCTTATAACAATGTACTAGAAGGAATTACAAAACAACTACTTAAACATCCACCAAGGTGTTAGTCAAGGAGCTCCCATTTTATAAGCAATAAATTCCGAGACTAACTTTTCCGTATTTATGCTTCTGATACCCATATCTGTTTATGGTTATCATATTTTGAAATTCCAAGTGGTGCCCGATGCTAATGTTAAATTCCCATATATGTTGACCCCACCTTTTCATAATTTCTAAAATATATAGACAAATTCAAATGTTACATTTTATTTATGTTTTGATTTTGAATGCGTAGCATAATCGTACTTTGACTGAGTAATACTATTTGATAAGCCTCTAATTTTAAAAAATGTTGAACTATAACTTTGAACGCAATCCATTAGACTTACACAAGTTCAAGCCCTGCAGACATCAATTTGTTAAAAATGTGGGGTTTTTTTAAGCGTCTTTACAGACATGAAATATATGTATTGAATCTTGCTTTTGTCGATTTCATGGGGCTATGAACCGACAAATGCAACATGAGGTTTTATGTTTTAAGGGATATTCCACACACGTTAGGATTTAATAAGATGTTTTGATGAAAATACCGCTTACATTTCCGGAACACATGGTCCACTTTTATGTAATATTCTTGTGGTCCACTCATAATGGCCCCCGTATACCTGTATAAATCTATCCTGTTTGTTCATATACTTTACTCTGTTTTTTTCCGTGTTGCTGTTTGAATAATGGCTCTATTGACATACGATGCATCGCGTAACCCGGTTGAAACGATTCAGATGGCCTGGAATCATTCCACTATTCACGAACGCACTTGTACCGGATGTTCGACCTGATACGTAAAGGTCAAAATGCACAGTTTCGGAATATCCTGTAAAGTATAAACCAATTGGCCGATCGACAGCTTTTGATTGACAGCGCGGTTTAGCCAATCAGATCGCGGGTAATATTCGCCTCTTTGTTTACATTTCGCTACTCTGACGTTCTCCGACAATGGTGATACTTTGCTGCTGGGGAACTTGCAACACCGATTTCGCTACCCCGAGCGATTATAGGGAGGTGTTGTGTTCATACCGTTTCCCAAATTTCAGATGAAGCATGAGAAGTGCAAATCTTGGCTCCGATTGTGCGGACGGCCTAAGTATCAACTTAACGAGGAGATCCTGTGGTGTCCTTCTAAAGGAAAGCATTTTTTATTTATGTCTACTCAAAAGTGCGTAAATATTCACAGACTCACGTGTACAATATTGCAATGAACATCAGTATTTGTTTTTCACTCAAAATTTTGCTAGCATAAGTTTTATAATCCTCTCTCATGTGCTAATAAGTCGCATGTTAATGTGTGTATTTATAAACAAGCTTGATTTCGGATTGACCATTTTCGGATATTTATTGACTGAATGGAAATGAAATTATCTGGACATGTTTCTGCTCTTTTACAAAGTTTTACTTTGTGAATGGTCTGTGATAAAATGAATGTTTACTGTTATGGTTAAACAGTTGAAATAAAATCTTAAAGTCTTCCAATAAGGTATTAATATTCTTGATGAAAAAAAACCCATTAACATGATATAAATAAAAAAAACCCCAAAAATTTAAGAATTTAATGCCAGTTTAGAAAGTAACCATTATATCAGTGATGTATCTTGGTGGCCATTTTATAAAGACTTTATATGACTGTAAAAGCAAACTTGTTTTGTTTGTTTCTTTGGGGTTTACCACTTCCTTCCCACTTGAAACAGAGGTGAAAGAAATTGCTGCTGCCGTGATTCAAACCCACCCAGCCCTCTGCACCCTTCTGGTCGTGGAGCCTATGCTCTACCAACTGAGCTAACCCTGCATGGCGACTGTTTTTATTTTTATTTCATTAATTCTGCTCCATAGAAAACAATCACACCACTTGAACTTTGTTTTGTTTTTTCTTTTATCTTTTTAATTATTAGCAAAAATGTAAAGAGGAAAAAAACATAAACAGATTCAACATTGTGTGGTGTTTAAAGGGTATCTTCAGCGAAAAATCTTTTTTTATATATGAAAATATAGGTTACTGTGACCACTTTACAAGAAATAAAATTTTTCAAAGATGAACCATAAAAGCGACATTGACTGTTAAAATGGCAAAATTATCGATTTCACGGAAACAGTTGAGTAAAAATCTGAAAACCTAATAAGTGACCAGTGACGTCACAGTATACCAAAAGAGACTGAAATCGACTCGATTTAACATGGCGAGTATAGGGAAATGAAAGTACGTGACTACTTAAATGGACTGTTTTAAGTCATTCAAGGAGGAAAGGGGCTAAAAAATATATATACATAATTATAGGTTATTAAATTCCCTAACGACCGGTATATTTCTTTATTTAATTATTGCACTGCTACCACATATAAAATTAGTTTAAAAAGTAAAAAACCGCCTCAGAAATACTCGTCTGAAAAACGGATCGTAGTAATGTGGCGACTTACTGGGTCCTGGCAATATGCGTCAAATGAAAAAGACAGTTTTTACTCCTTCAATAACGGAAAGGGCTTTAATTCATAGATACAAATTTAGTATTTTGAATTCCCTATTGATTGGTATATATATTGAATAAATGCAGTGATTTGCCATGTTAACCTTATTTGAAAAGGAAAACCTCATAAATATTCGACTGAAAACGGGTATATCCCCAAATTTTTCCGCTGACTGGGGAAAACATGGCCACTAATTTCAACTGTATCATCGTCTCTTGTTTGGAAGGACGCTCGTTGAAAGTATGACCCAGACACGAAACCGTTTGCTTTTAGTTTTTTCTTCAACGACACGTTAGAAGTATAATTAAGTCCGATATCATTGGGAATGACGTTCAATGCTGACGACACTTTGTTTGTCGAAGATGGTAAGAGTAGCCTCCCTTTATTTTCGGTAGGCGTGGTTATCTTTGCGTTGTTGATCGGCCAATTAACTAAAACTAAGATACCATCCATTTCACTCATACTTTATAGCACAGTGCTCCCGGAAATATGTGAGTGGCTCGATCCTACATTTCAAGCCGAAATTCTAAAAACTAATGATATTTCCGATTGAGCATCGCTTCGGACAGGCACGACTGAACCCCTTCAAACTGCACGTGCCAAATATACCGCAGTCCAGCTCGGTCCTGATCTGTTCCTGGCGTTGTTTGTTGTTTTTATCAGATTGAACCGACCCAATCGCTTCAACCGCTAATGCGAACGCGCCCATATATATCATCAACGTCAACTCTTTGAATGGATATCTTACAACATTATGAGAAAATTTAGACCCCTGACATAGTATGCCATTGTCGTATGATGTGATGGGTATTTCGAACGGTCATATGTTTCATAAGTCTTTAAAATAAACATGGGGATTTCCAGCGCTACAAAGCGGTCAGGGCTTTCTTGGATCACTATTTTAGTACAACCCTTTTCAATTGCGACAGACTTTTTCTATAACCATAAAAACCAATATTTGCATATGATTAGTATGAAGACAAATTATTTTGAATTTATATTCATTCGACCGTATCAGTGATATTAACTCTTGTGAGAACGGCAAGTTTTACGAACTATTTCTTATAAAATTATTACGCCGCGGTACAAGGCGGACTAACATAACATCTGCTCCTTGCAATGTTCCAACTTCCTGTAAGGTATTGTGGCAGAACGGGAACCCCAACATATGGGGAAAAATGAACTAAAATCGGTTCATGAGAACTTATTCGTTCAGTTCATTAGCAGATAAGTAAAAAAGACATTCTATCGAAACGTCATGGTTGTTGGGTCGGATGACAGGCCGACAGCTGATGTCGTTTTCGTGGTTGAGGGAACTGCAAATCTTGGTGGATACATCGACGCGTTGAAAGAACATTACATCGTCCCTACCTTGGAGTAAGGCCTCAACTTATCATGTTATTTAATCGTGTCCTCAGTAATATTACATCTGTATTATTGGCATTCATTTTATTAATTTGATAAGAAGAATTCTGTCTCGTTTCTGTTCTTGAATGACAGGGGAAGGTGTAGCCTGTTACACTGTGCAATACAGTTCAGGCATCTGCACCATAACGATTTTATCATATTGCGTTGTCTCGCCAGTGTAGGAGGAGACCTGGTATTTGTATTATTACTGGGGAGGGCCAGTCCCCTACCATGTGATGCAGGGCCTTATAAAGCATCGAAATGAACTCCATCTTACTTCATTCATTTTTTTTCCAGACTAACAGAAATTTCAGTTTATCTAAAAATATTCTACGTTAAGATTTTTTCTTCAGTATCGGCTGCTGTCTAGCATGTGCTGCAACAATATTTAGAAACTTTAAGTTTTTCAATGTGTGTTACATATGTTCTAGATATTTCGAAAGTGATTAGAATTTAAAATAACTTTGATCAGACAAGATAATTGCTTTAAATGGGCTTTAGTTACTGTCATTTACAAGTTCACCAAAACAATGTTGACATATCTACTATGATGCTGTCGAGGGAACAACTAGCATCAGTTTGGATGTTGGAAGGAAATTCACAAAATAAAACAATGGTGTCATCAATGTGGAGGCAATCCAGAAGATTTTATACCCTGCTAACTGTGTTGCTTAAGATTAAAATGGTTTGGAGTTGCCCTTGAATTCACTTATCACTACACTCATAGTATTTGCACATTAGCTATCATTGCTATTGAGGCACCAGTCTGTTCAAAACTTAATTTAGTTTACTGATTGTTTTTTGTCTCGTCCAAAATAAAGTGAAACTACAGTGTTATTTTTCTAGTGGTGGGACTGTCATCCTCAACTTTTCACTTTAAAGGTTTAATTATTGTTCATGTCCGATTATGTTTATTTTTATATACATAAAACATGAAATAAAATTTTCTTGTATCTTGCTTGATGTAGTATCCATATATATATATTAAATGGTGAACAGATATATATATATATAAAACTATATATGTAGAGTTTTTGGACACATTCCAGTATTTATTGGGTGGAAGAGCTTTTTTGAACAAACAATGGGTCCCATTCACAATTGAAACTATTTTATGTTTAAGCCAAATTCAAATTATTTGCATTTTACGCTTGAAATTTTCTAATTCACCATTTTTCGTCACAAAATGAGGTAAAATTGTCCCATACCGAACCAGTGGAAAAAAGGTGTGTATGGTAATGCAAAAGTAATGCACAAGTCTTTCATCAAGGCGACACAGGTTCAATTTCAAGATTTGATGAGGAAATGTATGGGGTCACAACTCACCTGCCCAACTACGTTAGCTTTCCCTTGGTAATCTGGTTTCCTTCCACAGTAAGACTACCTGTGCTGCCTCCTGGGCCAGTAATAAGTTGACAAAACTTGTTTGTAATTGTTGTAAATTAAGTTTATATAAAATAAATAGAGCAGTTCATTGATTTGTTGTGTTTTATTGACAGAGTTTTTAATGGAGGTCCCCCTGATCCAACAGACTATGGACATGATGTAAGTAGCTCCACATATAGTTTAACAAGCGTCAATGCTATCAACAATACTTTTGTATTTTCTACCAAATATTTACAGGACTGGAGCATATGCCTGCATTAATTTGGAAAAATTGAGTAATTCAAGATATATGAATAATATTTTCTTCATTTTAGGAAATAAAATTTTAAACCATGAAAATTTGAGCTCCATGAAAATATATCATTTGGCAGTACAAATATGACTTTTCCAATTGTCTGCATATGTTTAAAGATAAGCTGGCAGATGTCATTTATGTATTAAATTATAAATGATAGAATTTTACTTTAAATTACAGTATAGTTGCACCCTGTACAATTTGGTCACATTTTACTCTGCGGACATTCTGCCGGACTCAGCAGCTCGTTGTTCAAATCTGACCACGAACATCCATGAGTTCCTGACATGGCTTGATAACATTCCGTACGTACAAACAAGACTTGGATGTAGACAAACATTCATAGATATTACACTGAAGAATTTAGGAATTTTCTGGTTTCATGAGATCACGTCTTTTCCCTTGGTCAAAGGAAACAATAAACTTGCTACAAGGAATATATCATTGATCTCCCAAACAAAGACATTTCATAATTCTGATACAAACCAGAGATATTTTAAAATGATATATCTCTACAAAATGTAAATCACTTACAATTTGTGTAGGATTTATTTTTGCATTAATACACAAGGAAAGTCTATCACAAATTCAAATCCCTCATGATTACTTCTGCAGAAATAATTCTTGATATCTGAATGTCTCCCTAGCAATAAGAATTAACATTAAACTGCTAAGATATTTTGATATGAACAAAAACTTGCAGCAATCTCCTCCTCGTTGATGGATTTAGCAATTCTCTCAACTTTACAAAGGGTTCACAATTACTTATGAACTAAACAGCAACAAACAAACGGTGAAGAAAATGTTGAGTATTTCTGAGCTTGGTGCGGTGTCCTAGTTAGATTGTATTCATAAACCATTGATTTTGTAGCTATAATTGCGCACCTACCTCTTGTGTCTGTCTTCCTCTGCCATCTTGAAAAGACCATTCCTTAACTGGTACACGACAGTGAATACATACAGTATTTGATTCTGATACATCGTATTTCATATTTTTGAAATTCAGTGCTGGCTGATTTAGTATTTAAGCTATGGGTATCGTCTCTTCAAGGATAGAAATTAAGAAATTTCCTTAATTATTTTCATGAATTCCATTCAAACTATGCAATAAGAATCCAATTTATTGGGAAAGGGCCCCATTTATAAAATATGATGTGCAATGTCTATTGGGTCTTTGATTTGAATTTTATGCAGTTGGTGCTTTACAAGTCAATATATTAGCATACAAAAATTTTTTTTTTTTCATACAACAATGTTATATATGTGAGGTGTGTTGCGGAATGCCTTCACTAGAAATTAAAATTTGACCCCTGACTTTTTCAGTCTGATGCTCAACTAGGTAACTGAGCCAAAGAGAAAAGTTTTCTAGCTTGGTAGTATATTGCGGATAGAATTTTCCCATGGTTACGTACTCCCTTTCCAGGAAATAATTCAACCTTGAGTTCCCAGGGGTCACAGTGTTGTTTGTGAAAGTAACACTTAGTATTATTCCAAAGTCCCTACACCGGCATCAATGTATAAGATGTTATATATATCGATTCCTCAGCTAGGATTCACAGCTGAAACCCCTTACCTACTACTTGTCTGACGATTAACCAGTCGAGCTAAAGACAAATTCTCTCTAGCTAAGCAGTATGTTGCAACTAGAATTTTCAAGGGGTTATATGTATTTGAAGTGTAAACCTACATTGAAATGTTCTTTTGGTGACAGATATGAATTTTTTTTGACAGTTTTATTGGTGGTGGAGGAGAAACCTATAGCCATATAGCCGAAGGGTTGAGTACAGCTCTACATGTGTTTGATGACATTGCAGAAAAAAGGAGTAATCCTGGGTATGAGACACTTACTAACTGTAACAGTTGGTTTCTATAAACGAAAAAACATAGCATCTGTATTGTCTGCAGTCTACATTTTCATGCATTCAAATATCGGACAAAAATGAAATTTATCTTTGTTATTGCCATTAAAGAGAAATGCACTGTGGTTAAGAAAATACATATTGTAAACACTACATACGAAATAAAAGAATGGGTTTATCATAAGAGGACAAGAAAAAATTTTGACATCAGATATTGATAAAAATAAGTGCTGAACAGCTAGATAATGGAGCGAACAGGACTAAAATGTAAAAGACCCAAAAAGATCGTATGAAACATAGATAAATAAGTTACTAATATATTTCTGAATTTTGTTTTATTAGGTTACCGGTGAAACAACATTGTATACTGGTATGTAACTCGCAGCCATATCAGCTGCCAAGCCAAGAGGGCACCCGCTATCTGGGATATATGGCTGAACAACTGGCACACAAAATGGCCCAGGTATTTAAATCTTGATTATAGCAAAACCTATCTAGTCTAATAGAGAATCCAACAAAACCAGTAGTTCTTTCCAGAGTGAATATTTACAGACATTTCCGTAAGTTCATTTGATGTTGATAATTAGTGAGTTTTGGGATTCAAATAAGTTTTTTAGCCCTGGACTCATGCTTTTCCTGTAATACTTGCCCTTTGGTAGACAAGTAATTTGGAAATGGGACTCATCAAAATTTTTGAAATTGTGTCCTGAACTTAACAGAAAAATCCTACAAAACTATTTTTATTATTGCTTGAGCCTGATTTTCTTGATTGTCAGTGTGTAAGATAGATCTTAGATGTATGGTACAACACAGGGCAAATTCTTTTTTTTTATCACTATTCTGCATCAATTGGATATAAAAGAATGTTTATTTGTTCAATTCAACTCGATTAGGCACAAGTTATCAAAACTCGGAAAGGCCTCCTTCAGTTCTGGTAAAGTCCTTTGTTATGATAGAAGTTTTGTTTCTTGTTTTCATTTTATGCTAGAATCATATGTTATTGCTTAATTCACTTTTGATATTTTTCTTTACTGGTTTCCTAAGAAATATTTGAAAGAGCTCAAGAAAATTGTACAAAACTTCCTGGTATACACCAGTCTTGAGATCTAGTGCTGCCCCTGTGACCTTTGCTATGATTAAAATTCTTCCTTTGCCATATTTTTCCAGTAATCATGGACACAAATAGTGATAATTAGTGATTTAGATATTTCTGGAACATATCTCCAGAGCTGTTAAAAACAAATTGAATCTTTTTGTACATATCAATCATCATGTCCAAAAGTGCCTGTAGTAAGAAAGTCAATAGTAACAGGCTAGGGTGTTTCCTGGATGCCTTGGTTTTAACAAACCATCAGCTTTGAAACAATTAAGATGTTTCCCAATTGTATTTGACTTATATTTGATAACCAGTCACCATGGTTATCACTGACCGAGCTTTGAACAACAGGACCTGGATGATTATGTCCTCGTTAAATTTGATCGGTTTTTATAGCTATATAGAGAAAAAACGCAATTCTTTTTGATATCTAATAATTACAGAATTGATATTCTATGTAAATATCGTAACTTTATTTTAACTTGAATTTTCAGAGAAATATCAACTTGTCAATAATATCCCCTCGCAGGCTGTCAGCTTTACAGAGATTGTATGAAGAAGTAAGTAAACAATTTAATATATATGTACAAAGTGAAAAAATCACCCGAAAGATTTTCTTTAATCAAAATTTGCAGAATATTCTGGAGCTGTTATCAAAGTAATGTTAAGAAAACTTATTTGTTTTCAATAAACAAGGTTTGCTTTGCAAAATTCATCAATAGATTTGAAATTAGGAAATCCAGGTGGTTGAATATTTGCATATGTTTCACTGCCCAGAGATGTTGACATTGTCTTGTGTTGTTGTTGACAGTCCACCACGCCAGAGATCTCTATGATTTCTACTAAGGAATACACCATTGACCCACGCCATCTTGTCCTGTTACATGGCTACCAGCTGGAAGGTAGGGCATTAGTCCTGTCAAACAATGACAATGAAATAGCATTAGTTTATATATGTTCGATACACAGAAATATCAAATATGGGCTTATTACTAGATACATTAACCCATATTGACATTGTGAAGCATGATAGTAATGAAGAAGTTCGTCTGTTGTGTACACTGGATAAGTGTTCCTACAATCTGGTTACTTTCTAAGGCCAAAGATTTATTGTTTTTACGAAGAATATTTAGAAAAAAATCTTGATTCGAAAGACTTTCATTGAAAATTTTCTTTAAAAAAATTCTTTTTTAGGTAAGGTGGGTGTGAAAATTTAATGTGGGTCAGGATAGCTGGAATTTGTGTGTATTTTTAGGCCTTTTTTTGAATGATACACATTTGAAAAAAAAAAAGTGAATTTATATTTAAGGATTTTAATGCTGGTATGTTACAGAGAGGTCACCTAGTCCAGCCCCAGAACAAGATCAGACAGGTTGGTCAAATTTACCTCAATGTCATTCTAGCAACTCACTTAGTTTGTGTTCCAAAAGGTATTTTTGAATTAACGTCCTAAGACCTGAATTATGATTCTTTTTATAGGAAAATATGAGATGTGATTTGTTAAGGTTATATTTAGGGAGACAATGAAGCACATTAAGCAGTATTAAAGGAAGTCAATACAGACACTATAAAGTCAAGTATTTTCAAGGAGTTCAAATTTTCGATATATTCAAGAATAGAATTTAATCATGAAAAATATTTTATTCTAAAAATAAGATTGCTAATCAAGAACATAGTCTATTGAAGTATTTCTTTGAAAAAAGTGAAAAATTCAACATTTATAAAAAACAAAGGGAGATGGCATTCATTCTTCACTGTATTGTGTTTTTACATTTTTTTTCTGAAATATGTCCATGTTAAAAGGAGTCAAAAATTAATTTTATTTAAAGATGAATTAGTCAGAGGAAGATGTACACAAAGCATGAGTGATGAATGTATAATAATGTTTTGTAAACAGCATCAGCACTGAGTCCAGGAACACGACAACTCTCCCCAGCCCCTTCTATACCAACATTTGGGGACCAGAATCCAGGACCTTTCAAAGTTCCTTCCACTGCTCTTCCTGCGAACTCTTCAGGTGAGGGACTTTGGATTGTGGACGGTTGATTGTAGTTTTGATGTGACAGAGATTTATAAATTTTAGAGTTTTGTGTAACCAGCTGATCAGTACTACATATGTATTTCAGTTTTCAATCAATGCTACTGTAATTTACATATGGTTCAGTTGTTTCAGCAGAAACATTTTATGCATGTAAAATGAGTTGACGTGTCTTTTCTGGTCTAAGGAGACGCAATAGTCTAGTCACATCTAACTTTGCACAGCTAAAGATTGACATTGTGTGATTAGATGCCTTCCTGGGGCAGTTTGATGTTTGTCAGTAAGCTGAGATCACAGGCTGTCCTGGTTTTATCTTTGGACAAGATACTACCAAAACTGCAAAGCTAGCATGCGGTGGACCTCCCGTATGTTGTTCAGTAAAGTAGAAGCAGTCATACAAATACACACTTTTTCTCAAAGTAGCAGGAGTCAGTTTAAAAAGTCTCAAAAATGTTAAATTATGCAAAACTATAAGGAACAGATTTATAATGTATATATTGGTGTTTGCTTAGAATGAGGGTTGGTCATGTAAAAAGGGTTTACCCTTGAAATAATGGTTTATGATTAAACCTTTTTATTAAAAAAGTGACTATATCAGGGAGCTTGCATGAAAATCTCTGTTGAGGTCTTCTAATAATTCAGTGTGAAAAAGATGAGGTCTTCTGATAATTCAGTGTGAGAATCTCTAGTGAGGTCTTCTGATAATTCAGTGTGAGAATATCTAGTGAGGTCTTTTGATAATTCAGTGTGAGAAAGATGAGGTCTTCTGATAATTCAGTGTGAGAAAGATGAGGTCTTTTGATAATTCAGTGTGAGAAAGATGAGGTCTTTTGATAATTCAGTGTGAGAATATCTGGTGAGGTCTTCTGATAATTCAGTGTGAGAAATATGAGGTCTTCTGATAATTCAGTGTGAGAAAGATGAGGTCTTTTGATAATTCAGTGTGAGAAAAATGAGGTCTTTTGATAATTCAGTGTGAGAAAGATGAGGTCTTCTGATAATTCAGTGTGAGAATCTCTAGTGAGGTCTTCTGATAATTCAGTGTGAGAATCTCTAGTGAGGTCTTTTGATAATTCAGTGTGAGAAAGATGAGGTCTTCTGATAATTCAGTGTGAGAATCTCTAGTGAGGTCTTCTGATAATTCAGTGTGAGAATCTCTAGTGAGGTCTTTTGATAATTCAGTGTGAGAAAGATGAGGTCTTTTGATAATTCAGTGTGAGAAAGATGAGGTCTTCTGATAATTCAGTGTGAGAAAGATGAGGTCTTCTGATAATTCAGTGTGAGAAAGATGAGGTCTTTTGATAATTCAGTGTGAGAAAGATGAGGTCTTCTGATAATTCAGTGTGAGAAAGATGAGGTCTTCTGATAATTCAGTGTGAGAATCTCTAGTTAGGTATTCTGATAACTCATTATGAGAAACTATGAATATGATTTTCAGCATTTGGCATTTTCATTGCTTGAAACCTAAGAATATTATAATAATAACTATAATAATAAGAGATTTTCTGAAACTTGTGGCCAGGTCCAGTGATGTCACAGCTGCCACCTTCCCCACACAGTCAGTCACTCCCCATACAACAGCAGCAACAGCAGCCATCAATGGCCCAGCAATTGCAGCACAACCAGCCCGCTCAGTCAGTGCGGATGGTACCTCCAAATCAGCTGGATCAACAGCACCTGCAGGTAACATATATCTATTTGTTAAAAACATGAATTGTCGAGAAGATTGTACAAAAGCCAGTGAATAACACCTTTTATTACAAATTTAGACTCTGATACTGTATAGCCAAGTAATTAATTAAACTGCTTCATACAGCTGTCTCATCCTTCTAGGACTCGTCTATGATGCTAGGGGCCTAAATTTTTAAGCCTAGGATGCCATTGAAGAAAATCAAAGTTATAAAACGGAAAGTAAAAATCTAGATGGGGAGATGGGCTAGCCCCATAATTAAATTAATTTTGTGTTTTCATATATCAAATAATTTTACAACATGTGCATGCATTTACTAGGTAAACTGAACTGTTTCAATATTCCACGGAATTAAAACATTTCCCAAAACAAAAACTGACAAAATGGAAGTGTGTTCAACTTTTCTACTGGGAGATAATTGTCCGTTTACTTGGTTCCTAGCTTAATTGATAATTGTGAAATAAATGAAATACCGAGAGCTTTTCATAGAAACTTGTATTTGCTTCTTAAAATGTTTTAAAAGATTATCAAATAACAAGCCCCCATGAGCAAGATATGTGTACTTAAAAGATTTCTATTGTGATGATCCAAACCTGTCATGAAACTGATATTGCTATCATACCACCATCACAAACATGAATGCATTGATGAGTTCAGTTATACAGATTTACACACTGTGAAAAAAAGTCCTTTTACTTGCATGGATAAGTATAATGTTATAAAGATGTTTGTTTAAACTTGTCTTCTTGAAAAGTCTGAACTGTTGATAGAAATACTGTACAACCATTAACTCACAGAGAACTTATTTTCGCTGATTTTGTGGGTACTTCTAATCTATGAATTTATTTGTCCACCAAATATCAAAGAACAAGTAGATTTATTGAGCCATATTATCCACAAAGTCAAGTGCCCATTTTTGAAAAATCACAAAAATTTGGCTTCCTTAAAATTTATCATTTTACAATGGAAGATATGTTTTGAAAGTTCTTAAATTTCACAGGTTTTATATCTTTGCTTACTTGGATATTAGAATGTAATCTTGTTATAGCAACAGCAACAACAACAACAACAACAACAGCAACAGCAACAGCAACAACAACAGCAGCAACAACAGCAGCAGCAGCAACAACAACAGAGACTGATGCAGCAGCAGCAACAACAACAACAGCAGCAGCAACAACAACAGCAACAACAACCTTTATCACAAGCCATGCAAAGGCAAGGTCCAACTGTCAGACCCCAGGTAGGCAATGCTAGAATCAGTACTAAAATCAGTGACAGGATTTACATATAACATTGAGTATGATTTGCAAATTCTGCTGTCTTGACCTTTTCTGACGACACTTGCACCAGTAAATTAGCGTTATAAGAGACTTATAAAAATACGAAAATTGCATTGTTTCTTAAAATTGAAGTATGGGTAAATATTTTCTCAAAGATCATTTCTTCCATCTTCCATTATCTTTGTTATTCTTAGATACAAGTAAGGGGACTTGTAATTCATGTGATGGTTTTCTTCAGTATACAGTTTTTAGCCCACCTTGCCAGAATGGCCAAGTGAGCTTATGCTGTGGTGTGGCGTCTGGCGTCTGTCCAGCGTCCGGCGTCAACTTTTTCCTTTAAAAACCTCTCATCAATAACCAATGGACCACATGTTTTGATATTTGGCTGGATGAAGCCTGATAAAGGTTGCAAAAATAAATGACCTTGACTTATTTTCAAGGTCACAAGGGTCATATTTGTTAAAACCTTTCAGTGACTTCTCTTAAACTAAAAGGCCTAGAAGAATTTTAATGGTATATATAAATGTATATACACCAGGTGAGCACTGCATGCCCATTTGGACTCTTGTTTATTTTCTATTGGAAATAGTTCAAACCTGATTAGAATTATTAGTTTAAGATGACAGTTTAATGAGATGCACATATTGACCTCAGCTGACCCCAAGGACTGTTGGTAGAAGTACCTTACAAAACTGTGAACAGTCAAGGGTAATAAACTTTATATTGTATTGTAGTGAAATTGTTACAGAAAATGAAAGCAACACAGAAAACCCCGAAAAAGACAGGAACTGTACAGTTGTACATTATACTACTTACTCTAGCAAGTCATTTGAAAGTGAACTGAAGAATATGCAGGATAATGCAGTAAATAGGTAGCACTGTTCTGATTGGTCAATAATTAATATTCACATATAATATTAATGTCTTGATAGCATTTGTAAAAAATAATTGTAAGGTAGAACATATCTTATTTGCAACCTGTTTTGATGTACCCCGTAATAACTTATTATAACACTAAATGGCTGAAGCTTAAGCTCCAGTTCAAGGTAGAATTTAGTACCTAAAACTGTCAGCTTATCATATAGTTACAACAGCGTTATATTAGATATAGTAGGAGTTCACAGTCATTGTGAAAATACTGAATTGATAATAACATATTACTGATATCGTCCATTATTTGTTTAAGGTTGACATGCAAAGCAGATATGGTAAGTTGGTTTTTCTGTAATCAATATTTGTACTATAACAACAAAATTTTAAATTTCAATTTTAAAAAAAATGTCTTTTACAAATATTTTGTAAAACGTTGTAAATCAGTCACTGTGAAATAACCAAAACAATGCAGATATGTACGTAAACATAAGTAGAATTTCCCTCTTACAATTGTAGCACTGCATCACAAGTCAGTAAATATATGTCCATTCATAATAAGTTCTTAAAAATATATTGGAGATCTAAATCTACCAATGAAGCCAGGTTCTCCCAGTTTACTATGGCCTGTTCTACTTTTGGAAACACAGAACATACATGGAAGTAATTTGTCGCATAATTGCTTGATCAAAATTATGTATATTGAGTCGTAAACCATTTGAATTACACATTGTTGATGTCACAGTGTTGAGAAATGTCGCTGGGTTGTTTGAAACCATGGTAGTGATATCGCTGTTGCAGAAGTTTGTTGAATTGTCCTCCGTTTAAAAAGGTTTAGTCGTTTTACGTAATGTCACCGTTTTGTTGTCTAGTGGATATGAAAGGGGATAAGCAGGACAAACACCTACTTGTTGTCTGATGTTGGATAGTGTTAATCAACGTGGTTAATATCAAATGACCAGTGTAAATCAGCTCTGATATTTTTCCCCTGACGTAGGTGTATTTAGACTCGTCTGGGATAAGACACAAAATAAAACTCAATTTCTTATTCCAGCATAATTTGATGCAAGATATTTTGTTGAGTATAAATGAAAATCTGAGTGTTGTTTATGTATCATGTATCGTCCAAAGATAGGAAAGGAATTGAGTACATGTGTACCAGTAGGTTTTCTGGCACAGATTTGGCCTCTGTTTTCCATCAATCCCCAATAATTATTTTATAATGTCAGCTCCAACTGTCATGACCGATCATAGTGTTCAGTATTGTTCTACTTGGTTATCATTTTTTAGCGATCACACCATGTTCTATTCACTTCATTAAACACACCTCAAGAAAACCATGTTGTTTTCTGATCAGGAGACATGTAGTGCTGCCAAGTATCTATTTTATGCGGCAAAATGGTTTTTTGGATTTTTTTTTTAGATTTTTTCCCCCAAACCACCTGTGCATTATACATGAGTGCACACAACAGGCAAATATTTATGGTGTACTTTTATGATCATATTTTAATGAATTTCATTAAGAGATAGTGTAGCAAGGAAGAATGAAGGAGCTTACATATTTGTATTTTACACTCCAGATCAAGGTCACTCTTACTCATAGATAGAAAATTTGAACTATTAATAGAAAGCTTTTTGACAGAAAAAAACAATAACACTAGTTCTTAAAACAATATTAATCAGATAAAATAAACTGCTGGCATACAAAGAGAAAGAGATAAAAAAAAGACTGCAATACAATTAATACTTAGAAAACAAGTTGTGATTTCTGTACTGCACTCAGTTTGATTTTCCAGAGTGTAAGATTTACATTGTAAAAGGAAAGTAAAAAAATGTGTTTCTCAAAATTTTTTCAACAGTTTGATGTCAATCAAACTTTAAACAGACATTGTAATTGTTTTTTTTTTTTTATTTTATAATTTTTCTTTTAATTAATGGTTAATGGTTACAGCTCTAGTTTTAGTTAATGCCTACTAACACTCTATAATTATAAATGTCTCTTACAGGATAATGATGTCTTCAAAATGATTTTAGCATACAGAACATAACAGAGCTTTTCGTAAATCTTCATTAAATGGTCCTGCTTATGTTCATATTGCAAAATCTTTGAGTTTTTTTGTTTTTTTGTTGTTTTTTTTTTTGTTTTATTTCTTTTATCTTTCTTTTTTGTGGTTTTTGTTTGGTTTTATTTCTTTTTTCTTTTGTTTTTTTCGTTTTTGCTGATTTGATAATTATAAATTGAAGGACCTCCAATGCAGCAGTCACAACAACAGCCACAGATGCCCATACAAGTCAGTATTCCATCTGCAAGTATAAACCCAGATCAGATTACGAATCAGGCCATCACATCCGTCAGCGACATCCCGAATACGATGTCGAGTATGCAGCCCGGAAGCCAGTCCATGGTCCAGCCCAACAGTATACCATCTTCAGGAGGAATGCCACATGACCCTACAGCCAATATTGGACTGCCCGCTGGTCATCAGGGTATGACTCTCCCCAACCAGTCTCAGAATGTGATGAGGGATAGAAAGATAATATGGGCAGGTAAGTAGAATGAAAGATTGTGGACAATCATATACCATTATACATTAAGTCATACTGATGAAAGGAAACACTGTACCGGCTGAATTGAGACATATTTTATTTCCTTGTGCAATATGAAGCTTGATGTGCTTGATACTTATTGGTATGCCTAGTGACTTTTTTGTTCACCTTGTTCTGATATGTGAGCTTAACTTGGATTGTCAATGATTTACATGCCAGGTGTTGTCAGTGAAACTGAAGATGGTTAACCTACAGGAACACTTGGTCTTATTCTTCAGTAATCCATGTGTGAATATTTCTTTTGTTCTTATTTTGTCACTTTTATCAAATTCATCTTTAAATAATGTCACCTACATCAATCTTTTAAGACATATAGCCGATCTTCTTCATCCTTTTTCTAATTAAGAGTTTTGTTGTCATTTTTGAAGTATTTTTTTATAAGTATTGTCTCATTTTTTTTCTTTCACTTACAAATATTGTTTGAGCAACATATAGCTTAGCATGTCCGATTTCATATAGAGAATCCACTCAGAACTTTGTTAGACATTGTGTAGTATCATGTAAAATATCACTCTGTAAATATTTTTGTAAACCAGTGATAAATTTTGTGTTGATATATGAGATTTGTTGTTTGTTAGTATAGAAAGAGACTGAAGGAATCAGAGATAGTCATGTGATATGCATGAAAAACCAATTTGCTAATAATGATGTAGAATTGCGGCACTGTCTTTTATGACCAGTGGTACATGATGGGATTGACTTGGATGGGATTTCTTGTTGGTATCAAGCACTGAAATAGAGTAAAAGATTACAGATGTACAGTGCCTATATACATGCCCATAAATGATGTAGATATATACATATATTAGCAATAGTATCATGTAAATGCTATTTTCTTATCATATTCAATGCATAAAGCTGTGTTAAATCTTGCATGCTGTTGGTTTGGGTTTTTTTGAGTAACATGCTATCAACTGCTATGGCTATTTAAAAATGGAATGAACTGTGGGACATGACAAATAAGATAAGTATATGTTTTAAGATATTTGATTGTTATGCTCCCTAAAAACTTTTGGCAGAGCATGTTGTAGTAGCCTTGTTCGTCCTGACAATCTGTCAATCTTTTTGGCCATCCTTTCATGTCTGGAGCATAACTTTGCCCACAGCTATAAGCAAGGATCATGAAACTTGGTGTAAAAATTCTAAGGCGATGTCCACTGTACCAAATTAAGGGCCTGCAACCCCATAATTACAGAGTTATTGCCCTTTGTACAAATTTTAAATTTCTTGCATTTAAACTAGGATAATGAAACTTTGTATAAACACTGATCATACATAGACAATGTGAAGTATATCAAGGTTAGGGCTCACAACCCTTAATAACTAGAGTTATTGCCTTTTGTCAAAATTTTTGTGTGATGAGCATAAATTTGCTTTCCTTAAAGCTGATCATGAAACTTGTTGCATGCATTGTTCATACTAAGAGAATGTGCAGTATAAAAAACTCTTCACTTGTAACCCCTTTATTACAGAATTAATGCATTTAGATAAAATTTTGAGTCCAATGAAGTCATTTTAGGGAGCATTTGTCAGTTTTACTGATACTCTTTAACAGGTCGCCTTGAATGGCAGGAAAAGATGAAGTCTGCAGGACCTACCCCACCTAAAGTGTCCAGGTCACTGCAGTGTCAGTTGTCCAGTGGACTGACAGACCCTGTCATGTAAGTACCCCACCTAAAGTGTCCAGGTCACTGCAGTGTCAGTTGTCCAGTGGACTGACAGACCCTGTCATGTAAGTACCCCACCTAAAGTGTCCAGGTCACTGCAGTGTCAGTTGTCCAGTGGACTGACAGACCCTGTCATGTAAGTACCCCACCTAAAGTGTCCAGGTCACTGCAGTGTCAGTTGTCCAGTGGACTGACAGACCCTGTCATGTAAGTACCCCACCTAAAGTGTCCAAGTCACTGCAGTGTCAGTTGTCCAGTGGACTCACAGACCCTGTCATGTAAGTAGCCCACCTAAAGTGTCCAAGTCACTGCAGTGTCAGTTGTCCAGTGGACTGACAGACCCTGTCATGTAAGTACCCCACCTAAAGTGTCCAGGTCACTGCAGTGTCAGTTGTCCAGTGGACTGACAGACCCTGTCATGTAAGTACCCCACCTAACATGTCCAGGTGGCCTTACACCTTTCAGTAGATTTTTGTTTTCAAAGTTTTGACTTTGATATAAGACTTGATAACTGGATATAGTGATTATCCTTTAAACTTTTTATTCGTGTGGCCACGAATATCCAATCAAAGTGACCAGTGAGGAGTCAATGGATTGTACTGAAGGATGATTAATGGACTGAGTTACAGTAAGATGTTTGATAAATAAATTTTTGAATTTCCACCTAAATTTTTGCTTTGCGTTTGAATGTTTGCTGAATTCTTACAAAATTAAACAGACTGTAGATTTCGAATTTCAATTAAACGTATCTACTTTCCATTCCTCAGAAATTTTACAAATGTTTCATGAAGCTGCAAAATTATCATCTCATTTGTAGCAGATGCCACATCCACACTTCTGTAGAATTCTGTTAATGAGTCTTTGTAGTCATGTTTGTAATAGTTTTGTAAACAGTTCTGTTAGAAAATATCAGAGCTGAACCCTGGTCAACGCTGTAACTATATACACAGTATGTATCAGATGATTCTATAGCCCAGTGTGTAGAATATTTTCTCTGGAGATAGTTGCTGCATAGCGTCTGATATTTCTTTTCTTTTCCATGACAGAAATGCCTCCAACTGGCCGACAGATCTAATAATGCAGTTGATACCCCAATCGTTGCTAAACTCTTCACAGTTAACTCCCTTGTTTAAAAAATCCAGACAAGTTGGGTTCCATTTCAACAACCACAACTTGGAGGCCCTGCGCAACCTGTACAAAGTCATGCAGACTGGTTTTGTAAGTATCAAAGGATCAAGAGATTTGATATATATTTATTTAACATGGCATCCATTTAACATATCAATACTAGCTGTGTAATATTATCCTTGTTTAAAAGATAGCACATTACACATACATACGAATGTACCAATAATTTCTTTCTAATATAAGTGTACAATTATCAAACCAGAATGAAGTACTGCTTATGTGGAAGATATTCATTCTATTTTTGGACATTCCATTTGAAGGTCAGAGTCATTCAAGGTTCCTTTCAATCTGACTAGTTTCTTTCCATAACTTGATTACTTGTATTTCCTTATTTGGTATGTTTGTCAAGTTCTTGATTGGTCAGTCCATATGGCGATAGATTTTACAACCTCGGGAGAAGATCAGAGATGTGTGGTTTAATCTGTACCTGGGGCAGTTTTCTCAGGAAGTTGAAATCACTGACTGTCCTATTCTGTTGTCCTCGGACAAAACACTTCACCCAAATTGCCCTAGATAATATGCAATGTACTTACTGCTTGTTGTTCAATGAGACAGACACAAATTACTTAAAGGAATTCTTGCCTCTAAATTGATGAGGTGATAAATGTCATCATGAACTTAGGGTTATATAGAACTTCATACACACCTACATTTCCTTTAGTTATTCTATCTTGAATTCTATTAACTAATAGCTGAGGGTTTTCGCTGTTTACTTCCATTCCTTGTGATTATGTCATTACCAAATTTTATCAAAATTGTTAACATTTATTACAGGACCACACAAAGGTATCTTTCTTGTCATACACTTGATATCTGGGTTTTTCAAGGCCAGTCCCTGTTGACAAACTTTTAATTGAAATGTACACATCTTTGTATGATATTTAAACATGAAAAATAACGCTATGAATTTGTTTGATTTTTTTTTTATTTCCCTTTTTTTTATTGGTGTTAAATTACTTTCAATAAAGTTTGTTTATCAATCTAAACTTTGTTGTTTGTGTTTTCTGATGGTAGTTGTGGAAGTACAGGATACATTTGTTTTCATGTTTCCAGTTTGATATGAAAATTTCACAATTAATTTCATGGTCTATATGTCTAACTTTCAGGCTGGTTGTGTGCATTTCCCGTCAAGCAGTCAGTGTGAAGTACGCGTCCTCCTACTCCTCTTCAGCAGCAAGCGTAAGGCTTTCATTGGTTTAATCCCCAATGATCAGACAGCCTTTGTCAACGGAATCCGCAATGTCATCTATACTCACAAGGTCAAGGTTGGTCCACCATTGGACTGTATCCTTAACAACCTATACCATGTTGTCTCTTAGCGTAGGGTGATGGAAGGTATCTGCATGCATGCTGACTTGTAGCCCTGCCATTGTACACATACCTTATGCATATCATTATAATCATAAGGTCTTCTCTTTCTACTCACTGAAAATACAGTTTTATCTAAAAGTTTAACTTAGAATTTTGTTCACTGAATTTTCATTATTTCACAATTTGTCACAGAAATATTAATTTTTCAGCTAAATTTGTAAGGCTGGTTATTTTTTTTTTTTTTTACGTCTCTATGACTCTGTCTGTTTTGCCAGGCATTGTGTCACCAATAAATGTCAGTGTTGTGGCAGTATCAAAAATCTTAAATCTGATGAAAGGACTTTTACTGATAACTTTAAATGGTAAAAATATAGAACTTTGGTTTGTAAATACAGGTTATATTACTAAGCAGACAGAGTCCAATAATTCTGTGAGTGGTGTATATGAGTACATTATTGAAAATACAACCTTAGATATTAGCTCATTTTATCTTCATCAATAGTTTTTCTCCTGTCAAAATCACAGTAGTTGAAATTTGTGTTTAGTATCTATGTATAAATTTCTGCATATTAGATGCCTCTCTCGCTTCTGTATTTTATGAACCTTGCGTAGCTCACTTTAATAAAAAATTTATTGTGAAAGAATTCTGATCAAAATGTTAAAATTTTCTTCTGGTGATGTGAACGTCTCATATCACCCTTAACAAGTATTTATCTGACTAAAAATTTCATTATTATTATTTTTTATTAAATTTGTCTAAATTAGTCAAGCGAATAATTCGAAAATCGCTTGGTACTGTAAAAATATTACTCTTAACAATAATTGACATCATTGATCAACCAATTAACTATAAGATGTCAACTATAGTCGGTTTAAATTCATAGGGAAACGTGTAAATAATTTAGGTCAGAAATAGCAACATCCAGCTTAGACACATGACAGGGCACTTAGAGAGTTTTAATATTTAGCAAGAAACTAGATAGTCGATTTATACTATTTGTTTAGATCATCTACCTCGGTAATTATATATAACAATTCCCTTTCGTAACTTTCTGTTTATTACTGTTTGTAAACAAAGTTATTACGTCTAGCCATACAGTTAAGGCTTTCTTGATAAATACCTAGAAAACAGGCTCAGTCATTATTTCAAAATGAATTGTTTAAAAAGAATATCAAATTGTGTTTTTACAAAGAGTTCTGATATAGTAAAATATTGCAATTTGACTGTTTAATTGTCCCTTTAACAAAAGCCATGGAAATTATTGACCAATTTTCTGATTCTATAAGGGCTTCAAGTTATAGATATAAGTAATTTATGATGTTATTGAAATACAAAGTACAAACAGAATTAATGAGAATCACTCTTAATTCAAATTCTGATTTACTTAGGGAAATTTCTGTTGATCGGCCTTTACACATTTCTGTCGTGAATGTAAATAAATTCTCATATGTCCTGTAAACGTTCATATTAACAGAAAAATGAAGTCTATCAGTTTGATACATATGTATTGAATGCAGTTGAGGAACAATAATTGCAGAAAGTCCATACAGTTATGTGCCATCAGGAATTGATAATTTGTCAGTAGATTAGAATTAATAATATGAATCAAATTAGGCAAAAATGCTTATTAATAACTAGAATTCAATTTCCTAGATTACTGCAAGTTTTATCACCTATCTGCTTGTAGTTGGTATCTGTTCATGGTGATACTCTCAAGCGGAATTATTTCATGATAAAAGTATCTCTTTCCTGTTCACAAAGGATTTACATATTTGTACTTTATGCAAGGTTAGATTTTTAAAAATTTTCTACAAATTAAGAATCAGCACAGCAGATTATATTAATCAAAATTTGAAAAAAAAAATGCAAAGTTTGGACAGAAAAAGAAAGAAAAATCACAAATTGGATAAAAAAATTGAAGAAGAGATCAACACACTTTATCTGAATACTGTTTGAGAAGTGGATGAGGTTGACACTTCTTGATTCTATTTTCTTGATTTGATAGAAATAAAGATGCTATTATTACACTAGGTTTATGTACATGGAAAAGAAGATACAAAAAATCATTATATAACTTAAATTTTAAGAAATTTGTTTAAATAGTTTTTAAATTGAACCTCTATTTGACATGATATGCATCATAGTTTGAAATATTCCATGTCATAAATGTACTCGGAATTACTACAGTATGTTGTATCATAGATATAATTTTATAATTAAGGACATTTTAGACTCGGAAATAGACAGAAAAGAATGCATCTCCCTCTAAATTTTGAAGACTTGTTCAGTTTGTGATATGCTAAGGTTGTAGATGTAGACTGCTTATGGTGTTTGCATGCTATTTATTTATTATCCATTAATTTATTTATTTACTTTTCTTTATTTATGTATTTTTTCGTTCATTTAATCTCAAATACATGTATTCATGTATATTTTAACATAAATTTGTTGAAAAGAATTTATATCCAAAACATGTCTTTGAACTGTTGATATGCTGAAATACAATTCATATTTTACTAATCATATACCCAGTATTTAATCATGGTGTCAGTCTTAGAAGACAATATACTTGTTACATATAATACCATTATACAAAATATTGTCTTTTAATACTAGTGTTTATGGGATTTTCAAAACCAGTTATATATGAGTGATTCATTATTATTGATTTCTTCTTTAAAGTCATACTTTTGATATCAATTTCCCCTAAAGTTTCTTGGGTATAAGAGATTTCATTGTTAGATGTCTAGTAAAAACTTATTTATTGTATTGAAAAGGAGGTATCTGGATCAAAAATATGTTTTAGACAGTAATTATAGTAAAATTACTTTTTGAATAAGAAAAACAAGTTTGATTTGTGGAATAAAAATATTTTATATTCCTTCATATATCTAATTCATTCCCCCAAAAATTTGTCATTTTTTCTTCATTTGTTTTTGTTACAATATTTTTTCTTTCTCTCTCTTATTTTGTTTTGAAAATATCCCAAAAGACATGAAGAAGGCTTTTGAGGCCAAAATTTATGCAACATCCAATGAAATCAAAAGTCATTATATATGTTTTGTACTCCTGTGTTTCAGTGTTTTTGATATGTACTCTATCTAACCAATCCATTTGTAAGATGTTGGTATCTGATCTTTCACTTAAAGATCTCTGAATTTTTTCTGTCTTTTAGTCTTTTTCTGTCATGAAATTCCAAAAATGCTTATATGGAGTTATTGTTTTAAGAGGAGAATCATGAACCAGATGCCCACCCAGAGTGTGATCAGATGTATCTAAAGTGCTTATGATAGATTAGGTTTTGTCTCTTATCACAGTCAAAGATGATACAACAGCAGCAACAGCAAGGCCCTCAGCCATCACGTGGGCCATTCCCCCAGGGCGTGTCTTTGGCAATGCAGCAGGTATAGCCCCGCCCCATTCCATTCACCATATCACTGTGTTAAGGCCGAACAAATCATACCGGTCACTTGTGTTATATTTAATCCCACAGTCACAATATCAGAATCAAACACCTCATAGGTCAACAATATCAAGGTCACTTAGGGTATCGAGGTTGATATCTAAAAAGAAAGGTAAGGTCAAGGCCATATGTGAAAGAAGGTTTTGAATGGGGGTAGCTCTTTGGTTGATGAAATGTCACACAGAGCAAGGGTGATATGATCCATCACATACAGAGTTGTGGCCCTTTGTTCATCTTGAAGCATAATGTTTAGGTAATTTCTTGTATATACTGTCTTATGCAATTGCGGGATTCATGGTCTGAACATGTTATGTGATAATGAAGGGTTGTATCTCAAACTTAGGTTTTATTCTTATAATCATGTTTCACACACATAATATTCCCAATTTCATTTTTGCCCTTTACTGAAAGTATTTGTTTCAAAATGGGGATAAAATCTTACTTCAGGGAGATTCAGCATTGCTGCACTTGTTCTTAGATATGATAAAATAACCTTGATATTGTGAATATTTTAATCACAACAGGTACTGTTTTTTAAATGTTAAAAAAAAATCACTCATTATTAACATGTTGAACTCAATGTTAGATTTGGATGTGGTTAACCATTTCTCACTTTCCATATGCTGATGTCACACTCCAAGGCTGTTTACATATACTGATTTCACACTCCAAGGCTGTTTACATATACTGATTTCACACTCCAAGGCTGTTTACATAAACTGATTTCACACTCCAAGGCTGTTTACATATACTGATTTCACACTCCAAGGCTGTTTACATATACTGATGTCACACTCCAAGGCTGTTAACATATGCTGATGTCACACTCCAAGGCTGTTTACATATGCTGATGTCAAACTCCAAGGCTGTTTACATATACTGATTTCACACTCCAAGGCTGTTTACATATACTGATTTTACACTCCAAGGCTGTTTACATATACTGATTTCACACTCCAAGGCTGTTTACATATACTAATGTCACTATGTCACACTCCAAGGCTGTTTACATATACTGATGTCACTATGTCACACTCCAAGGCTGTTTACATATACTGATTTCACACTCCAAGGCTGTTTACATATACTGATTTCACACTCCAAGGCTGTTTACATATACTGATGTCACACTCCAAGGCTGTTTACATATACTGATGTCACACTCCAAGGCTGTTTACATATACTGATGTTTCACACTCCAAGGCTGTTTACATATACTGATTTCACACTCCAAGGCTGTTTACATATACTGATTTCACACTCCAAGGCTGTTTACATATACTGATGTCACACTCCAAGGCTGTTTACATATACTGATTTCACACTCCAAGTCTGTTTACATATACTGATTTCACACTCCAAGTCTGTTTACATATACTGATTTCACACTCCAAGGCTGTTTACATATACTGATTTCACACTCCAAGGCTGTTTACATATACTGACTTCACACTCCAAGGCTGTTTACATATACTGATTTCACACTCCAAGGCTGTTTACATAAACTGATTTCACACTCCAAGGCTGTTTACATAAACTGATTTCACACTCCAAGGCTGTTTACATAAACTGATTTCACACTCCAAGGCTGTTTACATAAACTGATTTCACACTCCAAGTCTGTTTACATATACTGATTTCACACTCCAAGGCTGTTTACATATACTGATTTCACACTCCAAGGCTGTTTACATATACTGATTTCACACTCCAAGGCTGTTTACATATACTGATTTCACACTCCAAGGCTGTTTACATATACTGATTTCACACTCCAAGGCTGTTTACATATACTGATGTCACACTCCAAGGCTGTTTACATATACTGATGTCACTATGTCACACTCCAAGGCTGTTTACATATACTGATTTCACACTCCAAGGCTGTTTACATATACTGATTTCACACTCCAAGGCTGTTTACATATACTGATTTCACACTCCAAGGCTGCTGTTCACACTCCAAGGCTGATTTCACACTCCAAGGCTGTTTACATATACTGATTTCACACTCCAAGGCTGTTTACATATACTGATGTCACACTCCAAGGCTGTTTACATATACTGATGTCACACTCCAAGGCTGTTTACATATACTGATTTCACACTCCAAGGCTGTTTACATATACTGATGTCACACTCCAAGGCTGTTTACATATACTGATGTCACACTCCAAGGCTGTTTACATATACTGATTTCACACTCCAAGGCTGTTTACATATACTGATTTCACACTCCAAGGCTGTTTACATATACTGATTTCACACTCCAAGGCTGTTTACATATACTGATTTCACACTCCAAGGCTGTTTACATAAACTGATTTCACACTCCAAGTCTGTTTACATATACTGATGATTTCACACTCCAAGGCTGTTTACATATACTGATTTCACACTCCAAGGCTGTTTACATATACTGATTTCACACTCCAAGGCTGTTTACATATACTGATTTCACACTCCAAGGCTGTTTACATATACTGATGTCACACTCCAAGGCTGTTTACATATACTGATGTCACACTCCAAGGCTGTTTACATATACTGATTTCACACTCCAAGGCTGTTTACATATACTGATTTCACACTCCAAGGCTGTTTTGTTTCTAAATTTCTCAATATTGTCTGGGTGAAGATTTAAATTTCCAGAACTTTTTCTATTTTACTATTTTGTTTTTTAAGGAAAACACGTAGATGTATTGCTTTGTTTTGATGATTCTTTTTCCTCCTCTTTCAGTTTGCATGCTTGGGACTTCATAGATTTGCATGATATGTTGTCATACTTAAATGTTTAGGAAAAAGCATTGTTAAATCATCTTGCTTTCATTATTTGTAAAAAAATTCTGTCTAAAAAGTTTGTAAAAGAATGTTCAGGCTCTGTAATTGCTTTATACCAGATATGTAATAATTTTTCCTTTTAATTAAAAAAGACAATACTTTACATTAATTTGAATTGATAATACAAAGAATTGATGTCGCCAAATTTTAGATTTTGGCCTGTTATGAAGTAAAATTATGGGATTTCATGTAATATGTATGAATTGGAATTTTAAGAAGTTGATTTCAAATTTGAGAATTATGAGAAATTTTAATTGTGAACATTTCTTACAAGATTTAATATCTGCTTTTCAAATAAGGTGAATAAAGATAGGTATCACTAATATTGATTCTACCTCCGTCATTATCAAAAATCATTATGTCAACCTTCAGGTGTAGTCACAGCAGTAATGGTGAACAATAAATGTTATACTTGTGATAGTGACACATTAGTCACATCTGTGGTGTGACAGATTGGTCACCCCTTTAGGGGTGATAGATTAGTCACCACTGTGGTGGTGACAAGTTAGTCACACCTGTAGTGTTGATGGGTCAGTCACACTTGTAATGGTAACAGGTTAGTGACACCTGTGGTAGTGACAGACTAGACACATCTGTATATGTGACAAATTAGTCACACATGTAGTGGTGTCAGCCCCATCACACATTTGGTGAAAAGCAAGTCACACCTATAATGATAACAGATTAGTAATACCATTAATGGTGACAGATTAATCACTACTGTAGTGGTGAAAGATTAGTCACACCTGTAGTGATGATCGACTAGTCACACTTGTGACGGCCTCATACCTTAATGTTATCACACCTATAGTGGAAGTCAACTTGTCACACTTGTGATGGCCTCATACTTTAGCTTTATCACACCTGTAGTAGTTATCAACTAGTCACTTACGTGACAGCCTTAGCGTTATCACAATTGTAGTAGTAATTGACTTGTCACGTAATTGACTTGTCACACTTGTGACGGCCTCATACCTTAATGTTAACACACCTGTAGTAGTTATCAACTAGTCACTTATGTGACAGCCTTAGCGTTATCACAATTGTAGTGGTAATTGACTTGTCACACTTGTGACGACCTGTTACATTAGCATTATCACACCTATATATCTAATCACTTGTTCACACCTGTGATGGTAACAGCACAATGAATTTAATTCCAAATCATTGTAACAGCACTAAAACTAACCTTATGTATACTACAGTTGGTGTATCTTCATGCCAAAGGACTGCTTTCATTAAAACTGTTATATTCTACCCATCAATAATTGCTTTTTAAAAGTACATGTGTATTTAATTTCCAAATTGTATATGATGTTTTTTCCAGATTTGTACTTGTAAACAATCTTTTAAGAAAGTAATCTCATTTTATATTTATAAGATCAGACAGAAAATGTTTTCTTTCCCACTCTGTAAATATGAATTATTTCCTGTTAGTAATCAATGATTACATCCATTGTTACAGATGCAGCAGCCCACCCCAAATACAATGGCCGGACAACAGCAAGTTGCTATGACAACACAGCCCAACATGTCAATGATTAGCCAGGTTGGTTTCCCTTTGTTAATGGAATTATTGATAAGACTTTCTAAAAATAGAATTTTTTGTAATAAAAGGTTTTAATGGGACTTTTCAAGTTTTTCATCAACAAGTTTGATTGAATAAGACTCATTTGAAATTGGATGTTTTCAGATATTTCTTACTTGTATATAAAAATAATATTTGCTAGTACTAAACATTTGAATTGGATATTATATGAATTAAGACATCAGTTTACATTTGTCTGTGAACAATGCCCAATCTAGAATAAAGGATAAACTTGCAAAATCAGGATTGAAGGGCATTGAATTAATGTTTCATAGTATACGTATATGTAGGATAGCCAACAGGACACAAAAATCTGTAAAAGGAGACAGTTGGGCCACTACAGGGCAGAGGGATATAGAAAGGCTGCTCGGTTTATATAGAAGAAAAGCAGCAGCATAGTAGATATATCGTTATAACGTATCATGTTCAGTGTATGTTATCAACTCATAAGTTAACTGTTTAAGTCTCCTGTTAAATATTTTGTGGATGAAGAAACAATACAAGGTGAATCTTGTTCATTGTCAAGGTTATTTAAAATTTTTTAGTTATCAGCTGACTTCTCAAGATCAGAAGATTTTCAAAATAATCTGTGTCCTTGATCAGCATGAGAAACTAAACTGAAATGTTAGGTGTTGATTTGAGTTCATTTATGACAGAGTTACGAGCAAAATTACCCTTTGATTGAATAAAATGTTTTCCATATGATGCATGTTTAGTTATGAAAAAAAAATGAATCTATTGTCAAATTTGTTACATTCCTGATATGACAAACTGATGAAGAGCAAAAGCAAGGTTAGGTGTGTTGTTAATAAATGGCAGCAATATTTTTTGCTCTGTTTTACAGTAGGGGCTAGTTCCACTATCAAATGTTGTTTTCCCACACCCCCATATCCCGAATGAAGCGAGATCCAAGAATATTTTCCCAATTTGTCAGAAAATCCTACTTTATGAAGGCATGGGCTGTTGTAATATCTGAGAAGATAAAAGAAATTCCAGGCTTAAATTGTACAGAAATGCAGAGAGATGCATTGTCATACATTTTTTTTTTCAAAACATCTTTTAGATCACCAGAAAAATACTACTTTGTGTTTGTATTTATAAGTTACGATCTAGAAAATAAATGATGATTTTAAAACTCTAGTTTAATTGCAATATATTTGGATTTACATTTCAGCAACCAAAGATGCAGGGTGCACCAGGAGGCCAGCAGGTTAAACAAGTCACTCCGCAGCAACAACAGATGCTAGGTAAGATTCTCAATTATCTCCCTTGACTTACATCCCCGACCTGGAACATTTGCATTTAATTGAGATCAGTTATGGAAAAGTCTTGGACATGACAGTGATTCAATGGTTTCTTTTGCAGAGCCATTCCAAACAATACAATTTTTAATGGACAAGTGGTTTATTCAATAATGGAACAATTTTGTTGTTCAGAAATTATCTATTATTGAAAAATAAGAAATCTTCCCCTCTTTCCTCTTCATTCCCCACCTGAATCCTCCCATTTTAATTAAACTCTGATAATGCTTTGAGACATTTTTGATGTTTATACATCATATGATATTTTGTTTTATTGTCAGCTATAATTCTATTGCTTTACAATTTGTCTTTGAAAAATTCTCTTTCAGGAAAGCATTGCTCTTTCAAAATTAAGCTTTATCAAATCTGTTGTAGGCTAAAGTATCAAAAGTAGATTTTTTTGACACTCTTAGTTTTTGCTATTCTTGGGATTTTGGAAGCACATTTTGAAGCCTTTTTCACATGTAATTTTAAGGTGTGAAGATGACTGTTATTTCCAGGTAAAATATGTACCTAGTATCATGCAGGTGTTAATTAAAATGTCCAGATGTCCAACTGCGAACAGGAATACATGAATCACTAACACTAGAGAGGTTCTGAGTAACATATATTGGAGGGAACTTATTATCTTTTCAAAAGTGACATAATTCTTATATTTGAGAACAAAAATTATGTCTGGTGGCATAAATAAGAGCTTTATTGTTTTTTTTTTAAAGGGAGATAACTTTATGTACAAGGACAGAAATAATACCTGTGGTAACATCTACCCATGAATCAAAAAGACCATTTTGAAAAAATGACAGTATAGAAATAATGTTTACTTATAGTTAGGGAACTCTCTTATAACAGCATACATTAACTTTTATTAACTTTTTTTTTTCAATTTAATGAATAAGTAAATCTGGCTATTTTTAGCTCAGCTTCATCTAAAATAAAGCTAATAGGTTTGGTGTCCAGCTTCATTTTAAAAAGACTGTATCTTTGGTACTGGTTTATACATGTATGCTATATTGCTGAAAAATCCTGAATATAAGTAAAGGTTAAGTTTCCTTTTCTCTCTTTTTTGAATTTTTTTTTTTCCTTCTTAATTTCGCATTCGTTTGAATGATAACTTGATATCAGGTTTCAAAATTTGTGTTTTCCATAAAGCCTGTTTTAGAACCAACTTCTGATGCTATATTCTTGTAGATGACATGTATTTTGGTCCTCCTCCAAATATGTACAGTGGTAGGTAGTCGTATTTAAATTTTATTGTTGCTATGGTGACGGAATATTTCCCAGGGTGCATGGCTAACAGTATCTTTCCACTGTCAGTCTTTAGTGTTGTTTGCAGCATGCTGGTCAGTTGAAAATCAGTGGTCAGTGAAATTCCTTCAAATAGCTCTGGTCACTAGTGGTTAGTTACCCTTTTGTCATGCCTGCTTGCACCCCTTGGTCGCCATAGAAACAATAGTTCCAATATGGGCTGCTATTTTGTTTATCATTATGCAAATTCCATGCTGTTTTATGATATATTTATGTATCATGTATGTATTAATGTACCATGCTCTACAATTCTGTATCTGACTGAAATATAACTATATGTTTATATTGCTAATCATAAAATCACTTCATATAAAGTATTACATTTGAAGTCAAGAAATTACGATATCTTGATTTCAAAATAACAGCTGGTACATAAATTTTGTTCACAATCTTGTTTACAATGAAACTTGTTTCTCGTGATCTGTTCATTGACAATACTTTCATGATGGGTTCCTGCAACGTTTTCAAATATTTTGCTATTTGATATTTTGAAATTTTGAAATTGGAAATAAGACATTTTTATACCCCTGAAAATTTACAGGGAAGCATATAGTCAACACTTTGTCCTTCTATCTGTTCTGTCATGTCCATTACATAAATTTACTAACAGTTTAGCAAGGATCATGAAGTTTGGTGTACACATTGTTCATACTAAAGCAATCGACAATGTACCAATTTCTCAACCCAACAATTACTGAATCATTGCCCTTTGTTAAAATTTTGTATCCAGAGCATATCTTTTCTCTCATTTGAGCTGGGATAATGAAAATTGGTATATACATAAGTCATATAAAAGCAAGGTGCATTGTAGCGAAGTCAGGGACAGTGGTCCCTCAGTTACATAGTTATTGCCCTTTGTTAAAATTTTGTGCTTAAAAAAGTGATATTTCATCCGTTTCACTGATACCTTGTTATTCGTTGGTACTACCAGAAAGGACTAACCACTTGAAGAATACTGCTGGTTGTATATGAGGGTTATTTCTGATAGTTCCCCACTGGAAATTAAGGGGATCGTAAGTTTTCTGTTGTGTCTGTCTGTCATTCAGTCTGTCCTTTGGCTAACTTGTCCAAACTCCAATCTTCTTACATTACTAAGTGAGTCACTGGATTGCATACTCGGGGCATTTGTTCATCTTGATGAGCAAACAATGATACATTGGCTTACTTCTTGGACTTTAGATCTGAGATACCAAACAAGGAGACTAACAAAACAGATCTAATTCAGAGCTATCTCTGTCAGTAGAGCGTTGGCTGGATACCTTACCTCCGATGAAGATTGGAGATGCATGGTGCAATGCTCTCTACTGTGATAGTGGTTTATGGTTCTTAAGAAGATGAGAAATGGAATTATCTTGACACGATTGTGTTCATGGACAAGATACTCCATGCCATTGACCCCCCATATGTTGTTCAGTGAGGTAGTTGCCAGCTACTTCATCGACCCTGGTTGTCTATAAGACTATAAACCCAGCCAGCAAACACATCTATGACACAATGGCGGTGTAGAATGACTTGTATACTGATCTACAGAATTAGCATTTTTTATGAACCCTTTAACAATTTAACAAAACCTGGTAGGGTTGACTAATTCAAAATAGAAAATGTCAAAAGTGATAACTTGGCAGGAATCCATCTTTAAATAATCAATATTTGTATTTTGAAGTTTGTTGCTACCATCTTTGACTGTGATAAGCCTAGAGGGTCAAGTTAATAACTGGGAGTATATCGAAGTATTATATATTATATTATTATTATTATATATACTTGTTTTACCCGTGTATACAACGTTTTATCTTTCAACTATGCCTAGGGCTTTTACAGTTAATCTTTTTAAGAACTTTGATGGGCTTATTACATGGTACTGGGGTGTTTTGTAAGTCTACCAAATGATTATATATTTGGGTGGGCTTATTAGCAGACAAGGGCTTATTGCTGGATAGAGAACTCTCCTACACCCAATATGGGCTTATCATCAATGAAATATGGTAACTATTCTTAATGATGTTGTAAGTTAAATTGTACTGGTTATAACTTATGAAGTTTTTGTTATTGTATCTTGGTTTTTTTCCCTTTATTGATATGAATTTTCAGTGTGTTGTAGTTTAATAGAGTTATTGATTTGTACAGTGTATAAATAAATACAGTTTTTTGTTATTCAATAAAACAAAATTAATTGATGCATGTAATTTTTCATTCATAATCTCTTGTAATATCATCTTTCTTACATTTTCTCACTCTGTATTAATCATCCTTTATGTTCTTTTAAATCTCGGTTGCTGTCATTTTTTTAAAATTAAGTGGGGCAGCGATGTAACTTGGTTTATGATCCATTGGGCCATGTAGCCTCATATGAAGATCTGAAGCATGTGGTTCAACACAGTGGCAGTTTGTGTTTACAGGAAACTGAAAAATACACTGGTCCTTTGGTAAAATGCTTTATTCTATTTGCCCTGGATGACATATGGGCCTGCGGTCTGTTGTTCAGTAAGGTAGCCACAAGCTACTTCAAGGAGACCCTGCCTCAGTATTAAGTTGGCTGTTCACAGGATGATAAAATCAGCAAACAGACTCACTTTCAAAATGTTAGGTCTTAAATTCCACTCATATCAAGGAAAGAAAGATATAAACACCTGTAAACAATAAATAAAGAGTAAAAATTAAACATTAAGACATATTTTGTAATGACTTATATTTACTGGGATGAAATTGTCTGACATTTTTTTAAAAATTTTCACCGATTTGTAATGACTTTTATTTACTGGGATGAAATTGTCTGACATTTTTCAAATTTTCACTGATTTGAAATGACTTTTATTTACTGGGATGAAATTGTCTGACATTTTTCAAATTTTCACCAATTTGTAATGACTTTTATTTACTGGGATGAAATTGACTGACATTTTTCAAATTTTCACCGATTTGCATTTGCTTTCCTATCAGTAGTTTTCATGGAATCTGTTTTGGAAACTTATTCAATTTTACAAACTTGGTAACACTTTAACTTTTCAGTTTGTTGTTTGATAAAAGCTGTTCTAGTATTTTAAAAAGGATTATAGAGAAGCACACTCTTAATATATGCTAAAAAAAAGGATAAGAAACAAAAAGTGGTTTTGGCAATAGCAGTTGTAATTAATATATAAATACAAAAAGGGGTGTTATCACTTTGTATATCTATTTGTGCCATTCAGCTGATATGTACTATCATGATGCCCTATACAAAAACATATTGGTTTTTTATTCTTACTTAACCTAAAAATAAGATAAATTTATTGAGTGTTTGAAATATGTATAGTGAAACTCACAGCTTCAGATATAAATGGGTTATTTTACTGTAGATCTGGCCAAAAAGACAAAAGGGAACAAAAATAAAAGAATATATGACATATATGATAATAAGTAACTGAATTATTTGATTTTTAGCAGGGCTGGTGTGAGAAGTTGCTGCATTACTTGTATTTCAGCACTACTAATAGATGTAGTATATCAAGACATTGGTTTATGATTATTATGTGACATTATCTGCCACTAAGTCCCCTGGTATATCTGGTTGTTAACATATAGCTGGTGTTACACCTGGGTGTTTATCTCGTATCTTCAATCTATTGTAGTTGTATGTATTGTATAAGGTTTGGGTCTATCACTCATAACTATCTTGTACATCAGATATCACCACTGAGCCTTTTGGGTCAGTCACTCTCCTCTGTCTGGTGGGTCAGATATCATCTCCGAGTCTTTCATATCAGTCACTCTCAACCATCTTGTAGGTCAGATATCATTTTCAAGTCTTTCTGGTCTGAATTTCAATGCCATGGTTCTTGCTGGTTATAATTTGTCTTCATCTCTCTCTCTCTCTCTCTCTCTCTCTCTCTCTCTCTCTCTCTCTCTCTCTCTCTCTCTCTGTCTCTCTGTCTTTGTCTCTGTCTCTCTCTCTCTCTCTCTCTCTCTCTCTCTCTCTCTCTCTCTCTCTCTCTCTCTCTCTCTCTCTCTCTGTCTCTCTGTCTCTGTCTCTGTCTCTCTTTGGCCTCCTTGACCATGGTAGGCAGAATTATCATATAGTGAAACTGAGATTCTTTTAAAGACATTTTTTATTCCATTAATTTGTTCAGTGGCCTCTGTCTTTTTCAGCCTTGTTAGTTGATCTCACATTCTTTTGACTTTTTGAGAGACATGTTTGATCCATGATGAACATCATCACAGCTTGTAGTTACAAGCATTTTCTTGTTCAATATTATTTTGATGATTCATCTTTTTACTTTCCATATTTTTATAACATATTTGTACAGAGGCTATGTCGGTTTGGCATGGGACTGACATATCCTTTCCCTGTGGGCTTTTAACAGTATGGGGAATACCTGGAATTTATTTTCAGTACTTCAAGTTACATATATATACAAGTATATGCATGTTGAACATGGGGATAGTGGGTTCATTATTATTGTCCCCTTTATACTATCATTACACTGATTTTTTTTCAATTTTACAAAAATGCAAATTCACAAAAAAAAATGCTTATAATTCATCAATAAGTCTTTAAGAAATTTGAATCAGATTAGTTTGGAAATTCATCTTTGAAAATAAAAAAATTCAAATTATCTGATTTCATGTATTTTTCATATTTATTTATTTATAATTTTAAAACTTCCTGCTATAGCCCAACGTATACAGCAGCAGCAGCAACAGCAACAACAACAACAAAGACTACAGCTTCATCAACAGCAACAGCAGCAACAACAACAGGCACAACAACAACAACAGCAACACCATCACCAACAACAGGTGACAAACCAACAGATACAACAGCTTCTGCTTAACCAACAGGTGGGTAACCAAGGGATACGTGTCGGTAACCAAGGGATACAGATAGCCAAAGGGGTAGGTAGAATTCCTACAATGTCTGACAGTATCAGTGGAAAGATTCATACCTGTTCATGGCAGTTTACAAAACACGATTATGTTAACAACACTAAGCAAATCTCATTAGTCTTTAACTCCAGTGTGTTCTTAGAAGGTTACAGGGTGCTTATTAGGTGAAGGACTAAATTATTGCATGTATGAGGAAGGGAGGGGGGCATATAAAAAGGAGGTTTCTCTCATATGTATTCTGCTTATATATATATCTACATCTAAATGCTTTTCTTGAATAGGTAAATAAAAAGGTTTCCTGTAGCTCAAATTTGATCAATTCGGTTCCATGTTTCAAAATTTAATCTACAATTTCTCAAGTATCTAATTGAAACTAAATTGAATACATATAAGAAATTGTGCTGTGAATTTGAGTCACATGTGAGAAATAGCAGATGGAAAGAGATCACCATGAACAGGATTTATTTGAATATTTTCAGATGGTATTGTTAAGATGGATGTTTTGCATGATTCTGTTAACATCTCGCTTTTTCATGATCAAAGGCAAATAACTCAGGTTAACAGCTTGTAATTCTAGGGTGGAGGGATAGAAAATGTCATTTATCTAACATGGAATGAAGTTTCTAAAAACTAACACATTAGTTTCCTTATCGGGGGTAAGTTTATTTTGAGGGCCTGGCATCAAATGCAGGGGTAAGTCACAGTAATCACAGTTTGACCTGTCAATTACCTCATCCATCAGTCAGTCTCTGCCAGTCAGAACTTTCAGTTTTGCAGATTTTTTAACAAACTGTTTGCAGATCTTCATAATTTCTACAAATATACTGTTCAGTTTGCTGTTTCACCATGGTAAACAGTCACTATGCAAACGTTTTAAGAAAATGGCTGTAATTTTTCATCCCTTTATCAATTTTTTCCCCTCGTATTTTTTAAGAATCTTTTCCTTTCATTTCTTGAACAGTTAATTTTTAATTCATTACCATGGCAATACAATGGATGGGTTTGACAGGTCATAATGTCTGATTTGTCCTGTTTTCCAAAAAATGAGTCATGGTGATTTAGAGGTGGCAAACTTGATAGAAACATACCCTAGGAAATTAGTTGCCATGGTAATGGTTGAAAGTCTTTGGTAGCTAGAGGTTAATCTACAGGTTGAAAGGTCTTAGTTGTTATATCTCAAAGTACACATGATTTTTCAATGTGTTCACTTCACGATATGGGGATATACGGTGAGGAAGATGGTGAGGCCTGTACAGACCTCAGTCAGTATTGTAGTAAAGTCAACATGATACATGCATGAAATGTGTTATCTTCAATATACAGTACAGTATTAACAAATATTGGACATACTTGTGAAATTCAGTAGTGAATTATTAAAAATATAACACATATTTCAATGGAATTTAATTTCCTTTAAAAAAAATCTGCCAAACATTTTGACAAAAAAGGATGAACAATGCAAAAGTCTATGTACTTATAAAAAAAAAAACAGATGTCATTGGGTTCAAGATCAAGGTCAACAGTTCCAATGATTGGATCAGTGAAATCAGATATACGACCTCTTATTTACGATAATGGTAGATAGATAGAGCAGGGCCCCGATGTTCTTCTATTTTAGAGTTCTGATAAAAACTGTCTGTGATGCAGACTGTTTGTGATGCAGACTGTTTGTGATGCATTATTTAGGCTGTTTGTAGACCTTTTTTGTCGTTGGTAATTTCTTCAGAAGACTTTGGCAAAATGGGATGCAAATCAATCACTTCTTCTCAGTTATTTTTTAGGGGTATCAGATTTTTGCGAATTTTATCAACATCATTAAATTTAGAATAATGAATTTTACGATGTTGTCTGTTTTCCCTAATTATGATAAGCAGTGTGTTGATCTAAAATTTAAAAAAAAAAAAAGGATTATCACAGAAATTACATACAAAACAAGTGGTTGATGCTAGTTATCATCTCTAGACAAAATACCCTGCTAACACAAATATTAGGTTGCATGTGTAATAACATTTTATTTAGTATGTAATATCTGTGGTTAACATACTTTTATCAAGAAGGTTTTGTGCCTCACTAATATTCCTGCTGAAGGATGATAACTGCTCTATGAAATTTAATTCATTATTCTCATTTTATCTTTTTATCCTTGAGATATAAATCTTTAGAAAAAAAGTCCATTTTATTTTATGTGCTTTCAATTGACCATTTATTTATTTGTTTTGTATTTATTTAATGGTTAATATTTTATTTTGTTTAGTTTATGAGATCATAAATCCAATTAAGCACGAGATAATTGTGTAAATGCAGTGACTTTTCATTTATTTAATACAATGCATAGTGAACAATGTTACTAACATCGAGACACTTATACATATCAAACATAATTATCTATTCGTTCACACACAGATACCACCATTATAAACAAGTACAAACTTTTCCAGACTAATTGATAAGTGTTAAACTGTCAGTGTTAACACCCTTCTCCATATATATCCAGAAATAACTATAAGTTATTATATGATACAATATCTACCTTGTATAATTTACATTCAGAATGATTTTGACGTCAGGTTAATCCATGCAAAACATTAAGTTATATAAGCTGTCGACTGATAGCGAAACCTTCCCATTTTCTCCATAACAACAAAAGAAAACCGTTTGTGCATTTCAATAATTTTTTTTTGTCGCATCAGATATCCATATTTTACTTGTTACAAAATGTTCATAGTTGTAAAGAATCAATCTATACTTATATGAAATTGAGCGATTGGGACAAAATTCTTTCGTAAAAAATATTAATGACTGGACGTTTGAGAAATGATGAGCCCTAAGTCCGGGAATGCAGAGCAGGTGAACTGGGTCACGTTGTAAACTCCAGTTATTGAGAAATAAACATATTTCCTCACGCTACGGTTATTGATACAGAGACAATGGTAATTCTTCATATTTTAATATATATGTTATATTATATTAATTATATTATTGTATAAGCGTTTTCAGTTGATAATGCTTCATTTTCCATATCTATTTTGGTATGTTTTCAGTTGGCAATTTGCTTATTGGTTTGAACTCTCTTTGTTTCCATAGCAACAAGGACAGCAGATTCGCCAGCCTAATATGATAATGCAGCAACATCCCCGGGGTCAGGCACCCATGCCCCAGGGTCAGCAAGGTGCAATGAGTGGGGGCCAAGCCTTGATGCCACAAATGACTCAACCTGGTCCAGCCTCAGGACCTGGAACTCAAAATATGTTTGAGGATCTCAACTTAGAGGCATTTCTGTGAAGGTCTCAGGTGCATTGTGTCAGACTTCAGCTAATATTATTTCAAATACAGGTTGAATCTTATGGAATTTGTTGACTATGATCTTAAAGACAAAATATGGTGAGAGAAAGTCAATTTAATTTACTGTTTGATGGAAGAACAACAGTTCTGAAACAAGAAGAATAAATTGTTGATAGTGCTTTTAATCAACAGCTTAATATTTGGCAGTATTTCTATGAAATATTAATGTATTAAATTTGATTGCACTGAGGATCAAGTTATGAATGAAATTGATTCAAGGTCAATAAACATAGATTACGTAATCTTGAGAGAAAAATAACATGGATGACATTGACTCAAGGACAACAGTTAGGGATGACATTGACTCAAGGACAGTAGTTACAGATGACATTGACTCAAGGACAGTAGTTACAGATGACATTGACTCAAGGACAGTAGTTACAGATGACATTGACTCAAGGACGGTAGTTACAGATGACATTGACTCAAGGACGGTAGTTGCAGATGACATTGACTCAAGGACAGTAGTTACAGATGACATTGACTCAAGGACAGTAGTTACAGATGACATTGACTTAACATTGAGGTAAGGGTAACCAAGTTGGTAGTCATAAACTCTTTTTGGTAAAAAGGTCTGCAATCAACAATTTTGAGGACAGTGACACAAAAACAGCAGCCTGCATCTCTATATCATGTTTGTACATAGTGAACAAATTTTCCCCAAAAAAATTGTACAGAGCATTTAATCTCCATATCTTTGCAATTTTGTCTATGTGTTGTTAACCTTGCCATGTTAAATGAGTCACTTGTGATATGGATTTCTGTAAAGTGTTTCTATGTCATTATACATCTATGGCCTAATTGTGACAGTTATTACATGTGAAGGTTTTCCTCAGAGGTCTTTCCATCATTTTACCACAATCAATTTGTAAGGCTATTTATCTCCTGTTGAAACATCAGTATGTTTTACTAACAGCTTGATGACTACAAGTACCTTTTCCATTATTCAATCAGGGTTTTTTTTTGTCAAGTGGTTTAAGTTAATACTTTCAGAAAGATAGAAAAAAAATATGTACACCTTAGATCAAATTTTTGGAAAATTCTTTTTCATTGTTCAATCAAAATTCATTGTGGTATGTCTGAAGTTATGTGAAAAATTTTGGTTGTATTGAAATTATATACAGTGGGGATGTTGTATGGATCCGAGATCTACATGGGACCACTTCCTATTGATTTCTGTATTAACTAACATGTTGCTGGTCATTCATCTTCATATTTCTGTCTTTGGTTTTATGTTAACGTAATAGGAATTTTCTATTCAAAAATTGAGCCCCGCGAAGATTTAAGAATCTAAAGAAGTTTTATTAAATGATGTAGATTTTGGAAAGATGGCATTGGTTCGTTCTTTTGGACATACCTTCTGTGACATCAGCATAGGGGCCAGCATATTAAGTTTCATTTTAAGAAGGCCTACATTGAAAATCCTAAATAACGAGCATATTATGAAATGTTAATTTTTGTGAAATTTCCCAATTTTTTGCAAATATTCTCTTAAAAGCTGTGTTCTTCAAATTGTAGTTTTAAATATCTGCCTTTTTACCTCTGTTTCAATAGTATATAACAATGCTAGGACATCATCTCTATGATTTTATAGGAAGATCTGAGAGTGCTATAACATGATACACTCAAAAATGTTCCTAAATTTGTTGTTTTGAAATACACAGTCTAAAAGCAATCATAATATTCTCTTATTTATTGTTAAGATTTCTAACAGGACCAAATGAGATTTTAATGCTTCATATAGAGAGGCAGGGACTGTTAATCATACCATACATAGATCCTTTTAAGAGTCTGCAGGGATTAGTCTGGGGAATGATTTAGGAATTTTAACCTTTTTTTCCCCTGTTTTTTTCAAAAATAGGACAATCCACAAAACCAATTAAATTCTTCTATAACATTAATGAGGCAGAATTATCCCTGCTTTACGTACGTCACATAACATTATTTGTCAATGATTTGCTGGTCATCGTTCTATTATCACTAGCTGAAAATATATGTGGTTTTCTACTTTGAATTAAGATGGCTATTTGTGCTTTTTCTTTTGAAATCATGTTTCTGAATTAGAGGATTCTAGTGCTCTTATCGCCCCCACCCTCTCTCCCTCCCCAAAAATAATTTTCTTGTCTTGAATATTTGTTCATTATTTGGGAGAAAGTGTGCTGTATTTGTTAGTATGCTGACTGCAAAAGTGAAGTACCTGTGCTGCTGTGTGGGTATGAATGTGTACTTCGAAAGTGGAGTACCTGAGCTAATATGTGGGTATGAGTGTGTTCTTCAAAAGTGGAGTACCTGAGCTTATGTGTGGGTACGAGTGTGTACTTCAAAAGTTGAGTACCTGAGCTTATGTGTGGGTACGAGTGTATACTTCAAAAGTGGAGTACCTGAGCGTATGTGTGGGTATGAGTGTGTAAATACATGGTGTGAAGCAGAGATGTGATGTGAATGCATGTTCGATTGTATAACTGGTACTGTAACTACCATTGTAATTAATGTTAACTTGTTGGTGAACATTTGTGATCAATGTTATGCAGCACTATGTATATAATAAAAGCTTTTAATCATGTGATATACATTGTCATTTTTAACTCATTCATTTCAAAGGACCAGTGAGCTTATGCCATTGTGCAAAATCCGTCATCTTTAGCATCCCGAAACCATCAACTTTTTACTAAAAATTGCTACTATAAAGTTTTCATAAATATTGGTTCACAGCCCCTGTAGAAATAATTTTGTGTAATCGGTGGGTTTTGAGGCCCGTGGGATGAAACGGGCCTGTTTGGGGAAATGCAAGTTCTGAAAAATTCTTCTTCCATACAAGGATGTTGTCCAAGTTTGGTGTGAAACATTTTTTATGAAAAGTAAATGTGACATCTGTTTGACCATGGGGTGGGTCCAAATAAGGAAATTCAGAAATTATTTGTCATACTTAGATTTTTTAACATCCCTGGGAGTCTTGTCTAAATAGTAGCTCACCTGGACTTGTCTTCAACATCCCTGGGAGTCTTGTCTAAATAGTAGCTCACCTGGACTTGTCTTCAACATCCCTGGGGTCTTGTCTAAATAGTAGCTCACCTGGACTTGTCTTCAACATCCCTGGGAGTCTTGTCTAAATAGTAGCTCACCTGGACTTGTCTTCAACATCCCTGGGAGTCTTGTCTAAATAGTAGCTCACCTGGACTTGTCTTCAACATCCTTGGGGTCTTGTCTAAACAGTAGCTCACCTGGACTTGTCTTCAACATCCCTGGGGTCTTGTCTAAATAGTAGCTCACCTGGACTTGTCTTCAACATCCCTGGGAGTCTTGTCTAAATAGTAGCTCACCTGGGCTTGTCTTCAACATCCCTGGGGTCTTGTCTAAACAGTAGCTCACCTGGACTTGTCTTCAACATCCCTGGGGTCTTGTCTAAACAGTAGCTCACCTGGAGTAGCTCACCTGGACTTGTCTTCAACATCCCTGGGGTCTTGTCTAAACAGTAGCTCACCTGGACTTGTCTTCAACATCCCTGGGGTCTTGTCTAAACAGTAGCTCACCTGGACTTGTCTTCAACATCCCTGGGGTCTTGTCTAAACAGTAGCTCACCTGGGCTTGTCTTCAACATCCCTGGAGTCTTGTCTAAACAGTAGCTCACCTGGGCTTGTCTTCAACATCCCTGGGGTCTTGTCTAAACAGTAGCTCACCTGGGCTTGTCTTCAACATCCCTGGAGTCTTGTCTAAACAGTAGCTCACCTGGGCTTGTCTTCAACATCCCTGGGGTCTTGTCTAAATAGTAGCTCACCTGGACTTGTCTTCAACATCCCTGGGGTCTTGTCTAAATAGTAGCTCACCTGGACTTGTCTTCAACATCCCTGGGAGTCTTGTCTGAATAGTAGCTCACCTGGACTTGTCTTCAACATCCCTGGAGTCTTGTCTAAACAGTAGCTCACCTGGACTTGTCTTCAACATCCCTGGAGTCTTGTCTAAACAGTAGCTCACCTGGACTTATCGCCAACATCCTTGGTGTCTTGTCTAAACAGTAGCTCACCTGGACTTGTCTTCAACATCCCTGGGAGTCTTGTCTGAATAGTAGCTCACCTGGACTTGTCTTCAACATCCCTGGGAGTCTTGTCTGAACAGTAGCTCACCTGTACTTGTCTTCAACACCCCTGGGGTCTTGTCTGAATAGTAGCTCACCTGGACTTTTCTTCAACATCCCTGGTGTCTTGTCTAAACAGTAGCTCACCTGGACTTATCGCCAACATCCCTGGGAGTCTTGTCTACAATATCTTCCTCAAACGACCCAACGTCCGTAAACTGAGCAACAGACAAGCATTTTCAATTTTAGTGTTGCATATGTTTCAACGATCCATATTAATATAAGTACTGTATTAAAATATCTCGTGAAAGATGAAATATTTTTAAAAGTGTTAACCGCTGGTAAAATGAACTCATCGTGCCTATCACTATATATCCGTAAGTGTAACTTATTATCGGGAGAAAATTACAAACAGAAACACTGGCCTGAGTCTTCATTAAAGTGCCCATCACCTAATAAGAAAAAAACAACTTCATAATGACAGACTCACATGATAATTAGAAATATTGTCCGTATCCTTAAGTATCTTCATTGTCCGTTGTCAATGACTCGTTCTTAATTTCAGTGTTATTCATCTATGCTCCATTCCGATTTATTCCGGTTCATATAAATTTGATCAATTCAAATAAGTAATATCGCGTTCCCAAATGAGACCAAGGTACATGTAAATTGCAACAGAACTATATCAGCCACTCAAGCGTGAAACAAACACGTCCAACCTCTTATTGCACAAGAAAATAGAATGTATCCCATTGTGATTATTATGATGACTGTAACATATTCCCATAAGCATCTTTTTCAATATGCATTTGTGAGTTTAAAATATATCAAAAACATCAAAATATGGAACCATGATCAATTCAAAAAGTAAAGATTATTCATTATGCAACAGAACTATTGAAACAAACACGTCCAACCTCTTATTGCACAAGAAAATAGAATGTATCCCATTGTGATTATTATGATGACTGTAACATATTCCCATAAGCATCTTCTTCAATATGCATTTGTGCATTTTTTTAACCATGTCAGAGTTTCTGGTCACCATGCTTATATCCATATAACCCGTGATATCAGGAATCATATCTCGGTCATTCTGAGAATGTACACGAGTAGAATGATCATAATGTAAAATTGTATATTTTAACAGTAAGTCGACATATGAATTCGTGGAGCATGAGAAATTTATCATTTTAAAGTACTGATGCGTAAGGTACAAGTTAGTGGTTAGGAAATGTCAGTCTCCGTATGACCAACCCCCTTCCTGAGATTTCGTTCGTCCCTCAGGATGTCAATAGTCCTTTCTATTGTTGTGTCTGTTTTTCTCTCGTCATTTTTATTCCAAAGTCCACGATCCGTGAGTAAAATACACCATAAAATGGATAATTACAATAATGCCAGACCGTTCAATATCAATATTCGCTTCTTGTGCCATTTCCTTAAGCATTCCTCCAAGAATCTTTACGTTCTCTTGTGAATTTTGTTTTGATATGTTGTAAAAAGAAAAGTGCATGCCCTTCGTCATTTATTTCCCCGAATATACCCAAACAGCTGTACACTAATACATTTCAGTTGTTCCTTAATGAAAGCAGCTACTGCTCTTAGTTGTTGCCTCTGCAACAGACGACAAGTGTTCTCTATGAAAGTGTGGATTCCCCCAAGGATGTCTATCAATTTCTTTTATCTTTTTTAAAAACTTTTTTCCCATTGGTGCCCTCAAACGAAGTTGTATACTGAGCTGACCAAAATGCCAGCGCTGTTTGAAACATATATATTAGAGAATTACTCCCTAGTAACGTAGTAGCTCTGAAAGACAGAATTTTACCAAATTTGGTCTGAAGCATCCTTTGGGACAGGATAACTAAGTTTGTGTAAGCATTGGTTATCGAGTCCCAGGGGCATAAGGCCATGACCCGAAATGTGAAATTTTGCAAGTTCTTTAAAATCCTACACCTGCTGTATTAAATAATTAATATTGCCAAAATATGATCTGAAGCATTCTTAGGTGGAGAGGAAGGGGCGAGGCCCAATAGGGAAAATAGACTTAATTCATTAAAACATTACTCCTCCTGTAGGAATGAATAAATATTGTCCTTATTTGGTCTGAAGAATTATTAGGTGACGGGAATCAATTTTGTTTAAACTTTCCCGACCCCTTGAGGCGTCGGGAGAAATTGAGCAAATTTTCCAAAATCCTCCTCCTAATGATTGGATTATAACCAAATTTGGTCTGAAGTATTCTTGGATGAAGGGGAAACAATTTTGTGAGCTATACATGCCCTATGTGCCTCTTGATTATTTTCTTTTGCTGATTCTTGAAGACTTAATTTGTTGTTTCTTAGAGGCATAAATCATTTTAATGTCCCTTTTAGTCAAATCAAGTTTAAGTGAGTATGTCTCTATCCACGAGTCGTTGTCTTGGTCACGGCACCATTTTACGCCTTCAATGTTACAAAACATTGGCACATGTTCTCCATTTAGGGATGTATAACTGGGAAACAGTGACATTATGTGGAACGATTATAAAAAACGACAAGGTTATGTAATGAAGGGTCATCTCTCTCTTCTTCTCTCTATCTACTTTAGTCACTCTTTAACCTCTTTTGCATATATTTCTATTTTCTTGACCTATTTCTGTTCTATTTGAAGTAAGACATGAAATAAGAGTGAGAATTTCACACACGAATGTGTGTGTGTGTGTGAGGGTGTGTGTGTGTGTGTTTTTTTTTTCTTAATTATTTCCTTTCTCCAACTTTTAAACGCCTTTTCAATTGAGCAATATCTTGTAAGTTCAAAAAAATGTACAAGAATCGTTCGAAAATTTATTATTTTAATGTTACTAAGCTGTTGAGAATGTTAACAGTGCTCAGCTTAACATTTAACATGTCATACTGCTGATGCTTCATATTAACCAACACAAGTCAGCCTTTTTCAGTCATTGTTACTAAAATAATTAGAGGGAAAAAGACCCTGGACCACTCGTTGACATGTTCTTTATTTTGTTATATAAAGATTTTTTTTTGCATTATAAAGGATACTGTTGTACACGTGTGACAGTTAAGACAAAATTCGTAAACAAAAAAATCTTTGATCCTATAGCAGCTAAAAATTAATTCATCATTCGTCGGCACCGTTATGATAACTTACTCTACCATTTGTTAATATTGATTCTGATCAGTATAACTTATTACTGCAGCATTTACAGAAACAAATGATAATCATCAATCCGGAAAATGAAAATGATCTGGTTCCTTATCGGTGTTTACTATGCACTTAACAAACATTTTAGTCGACGGTATCGCTCAACGTTATTTCTACGCTTGACAATAATATTGTGAAATGCCAAAGCCAAGGAAAGACCGTCCCAATAGAATTACGAAATCAGCAGGTTCGGTAGTTCAATTTTCGACACAGAGTGGTATGTATGGAGTTTACGTTCACTCACATAAGTGTAAATTGTTGTCGATGTTTTACTTTTTTTGTAAACAAGCTTAATTTCATCAAGTGTACTACCGGTCTCTGGAATAGAGGATCAATTTCGAATGTGAAAAAAAATGAAATGTTTAAGAAGTCGAGGGTACCAATGTATATACTCTTTTTACACCAATTTAACCCTTTTCAAATAATGTTTTACATTTCTAACATTTCCAAAACCTCTGTACCTAACTACTGGGTAGTACCAGTTCATTCGAACGAATACATTATTCAAGGATTCGCTGATCTCTGGTCCTCTCCGGATTTAGAATACTTCATATAGATATTTATGTAGTTGTAATTATATGTAAAATATGACGTTTGATCAGACATAGGAATGATGATCCAAATAGGACGCTTTATATAAATGTAAAATAAGAGAGCAGCAGTGATAATCGGTGGTAGTAATCATCATATATAAATTAGATACACTGTTGTAAAATTTATAGATTTATAATTTTATTATGCTATTATGCATTTTATTCGTCATATTTGAATATTATTACATATATTTCACATATTAAATGCCTGATTTATTCTGTGATGGTTATCAGTCATCTAACAATACTTTATGTAAGATATAGAATGAAAGCATACTATGCTCCAGGCATTCAATATACCATTAGAAGTTTTTTGTTTGTTTGTTTTTACTACCACCCTTCATAACCTCTTAAAAAACCCAAAAAAGATTTAACTCTTAGCTTTGAAAGGAAATGTCTCTTTCACATATGTTTTGACACTTCAGATTTGTGACTTGCTGATGAATATGTTGATGTGTTAAGATAAAAAAAACTATTTTAATCTTTTTTGCATTTTTTCATAAAATTTTAACTTTTGATTTGATAATAGCATATATTGCCATATGAAATGTAACCCAAATCCAAGCAAAGATCATGTTTTTTGAAGTTCAGTTAAGAGCAAAGTCTAGAAAAATTTTGACCCTTTGCAGCATTTTCTCTCTTCCCTTTTTCTGCACAAGTAATCCATAACTAACATTGTTAGTACTGTTTCATTGCTGAGCCAGGAATATAAGGAGACAGAATTGCATGAGTACTTGTTTCTGAATCCTATCACTTTTGTATATGTATGTACCACTGCAATATATAACAAATAAAGTTTAAATCAAAAGAAAAGTCCTGCAAAGAGCTCACTTTAATTTCCAATGTATGAAAAGAATTAAAATATTTTTTTCATTTTATAGACACTGTCTTATTACAATTTTCACTGCTTCAGAGGAAAACTGTTCATATAAAAAATATCACATTATTAATTCTGCGACTCTTTTGAAATCCATATTCCTTACAGATTTTACTATACAACATTATGCAAATGCCGAATTTGAAGGGAAAGCACCTCCAGGGCGGATGAAAAAAGCAGCAGCTAAAACAATGACTTCTGAAGGTATTAATTTTTTAATGGACTTTATAAAGTAACGATTGTATGTATGATCAATTTTTGTTATGACTTGATATGCAGGATTATTTACTGTTGGATTAAAGTTACGGTGAAGATAAGATGGTTAATGGTGGTAATGCTTGTAATGGCTTTGTTTCATGATTCTGCACTAAAACAAAGAATCGAAAGATGATATAAAGGAAGTAGTGAAAAGAATAAAATACTTTTGCTGGGGGTCAGCCATCAATTTGAGATTATCTGAATCTAGATCTATGTCTAGTTGATCTTATGACTGTGTGAAATAAGAATTATCTAGAACTGAAACTGGTTTGAGAAAATATTGACATTACATGTATTGAACACTAATACAGAACATCTTCATTATTAGCAATAAAAAGTTTGTATGTTATAACATTTCTGTTTCTCATTAGTGGAATTTCAATATTATGACATATCTTTAGTGTGATTCGAAATGTCATGACATCTCTTAAGTTGGACTCGAATGTCATGATATTTCTTTATTGAGGCTCCAATGTCATATCTCATCTCTTTAGAAGGACTCCAATGTCATGATATTTCCTTAGCGGGACTCCAGTGTCATAACCTCTCCTTAGTGGGGCTCCAATGTCATAATATTTCTTTCATGGGACTCCAATGTCATATCCTCATTCTAGTAGGACTCCAATGTCATGACATCTCTTTAGTGGGACCACAGTGTCATGACATCTCTTTGGTGGGACCACAGTGTCATGACATCTCTTTAGTGGGACTCCAGTGTCATGATATTTCTTTCATGGGACTCCAATGTCATAACATTTCTTAAGTATTAGATATCCATTTTCTTTTTTTAATTGCTCTTTTAGTTTGGATAGTGGTATATATCATGCTTGAAATAAAACTTACAATATTGAAGCAGCTGTAGCCGTTTGTGGGGAAAGTAACTGATTGACAAACAAACAAGTTTGATCTTTGCGAACTTTTTCTGGTGTGACCTTTAGGTCAGAGTCACTGACAATTAATTTCATATCAAAGTTAAATGTTATGAAGTAAGAAATATTTTTGTGAAATGTTGATGTCAATTGTGGTGAGAATGATCGTAATCTTTTATACAGAACAGTGTTGGTCAGAGTCCCATTATTATATATATCTCTGTTTCCATGGAGATATAACAAGTTATTGGTCAAGATACCCCGGTAATTAAAGCATAGCAATGATAAAGTAACAGCAAATTTCTCATTTGCATATCTAGCCTGAATGACTATTGTGAATGATGTCAAAGCCCCCAATTAACCCAAACATGTCATGAAGTTGAGGTCAACCACAATAGCAAGACCGTGATTTTAAATGTTAATTGTGTGCTGAGCAAGGAAACCCAGAATTACATATCACGGAGTTATCATGTTTTTGCTTGTTTAAATTTGTGAGTTAGAATGAGGATAATCCTTCTGTGTTTTGAAATTTGTAGCAGTATGTCACGATTATACTGTCGAAAATCTGTTGAAGATACACATTGCCAGTAAAATTATATTTGTGACTATGTGATCACTATATACTACCACAAATTTCAAAACACAGATTCCCTATATACAAAACAGACAGGAAAATTCTACAGCATGTACAAAATTACCACACTATTGTAGACTGTTATAATGGAGATTTTGTTGTGCTTGTTTACAGTGCAAAGTATGAAGGATACAAAACAGGTTCTGGAACTGGTCGGTGCCGTAGGTGGAGATGGATCAGATTCAAATTGGTTTGACAAAGATTTGGACGAATTTAACATTGACATAGACACTATAGACCAAACATCAGAGGAAGGAATAGAATCAGATGTTCCAGGTATAAAATAGGCGTACCTTTTTTTATTTGTTTGTTTCAATTTAGTTTGCTAGGTTTATCCAATGTGTCCATGAACAGTCTTTGTGTGATAGCCTGGTACTTATAACAACCTTCATAGTACATGTACCTCATTTTAATTTTATAAACTTGTTTTATGAATACTACTGAACATTCAAGGCAAATTGTGAATTCTTCAATTTGTATTCATGAATAAAAATGAAAGATTTAGGTATGAAAGTGTTTACATATTGTTACAAAAATTGGTTTGTCTTTCTACCTATTGGAATGTAGTGTTCAGTTTGTGATTTGATAAGTATAAAACATCCATCTTGCTCACAGAAAAGAAACTAAATCAAAGAAAGAGGAGACTGAAGGGAAGTGAGAGTCAGGACACAGGTATCTCATACCCAATGGACTTGTGGTATGTCTTAAGTCAATATGTTCATCCCGAGGACCTTTCAGTATTCTGCAGGCTGTGTCGCAGTACCTACGTTGTGACCAACACTATCCAGTTCTGGAAAGGCATTTACAAAAGGTCAGTGGTTTACTTAAATTTTAAAATATCATGACATTTTCTACAAAACATAGAGAGCATACCATGAGATATTCCCTAGATATATAGCATGTTGAATTTCCTAATATTAGAGGGACAGTTTAGAAAGGTATAAGTCATTTGTTCAGAAAGATTAATCACTGCAGTTAGATGTATTTTTATGTGTTTTTTTACTAATGTTATCTAGCAATAAGCCCATCTCTGATAATAAGCCCACCGATGTCTATCTCAGTTTAGTGCAGTGAACTGCTCTTTGTCCTGTAATAAGCCAATCCCCTTATTTGGAGTGATGTATAACTTGTTGACCTTTTAGGCTTATTGTAACAAAAAATTTAGAAGTATTTATCAAAAGTACTAAGTAACAGAAGAACTGAATTGCCAAAGTTTGTCTTTGTCTCTCTACAAATAAACAATCAAATATCTTTTTCAACTTAGTAAAATATTTTTGTATTGTGTACATCGGGTATATTTATGTGTATATGTATGAAAAATCCATTTAAACAAAATCTGATTGCTTCTGAAGATCTTGAATGGTTCTTTTTGTATTTTTTCATAGACATGTTAAAGACCTATCCAAGCTTCCAGATTTCCTACAGCCTGTCTGTCTAGAGCGGATCCACGGCTTGCGGCAGCGAGTCATCAGGGCCCTGTTTTTTGTGTATCCCGTGTTCATTAGTCGGACCATGACCGCAGCACCATTCCAGGAGCAACATTTATGCTACAATCTCAAGGGACACCTCTGTCTTGTGTCATGGCATGAACCGAACAAAAATATGTGGAACTTTAATTTTAAATTTAGAAAAGAGCGTATGGGAGAAATTAATAGTTTATTACGTCTCAATGGTGAGCCTCAGAGTCTTCACTCAGGTTACAAAGACCTACATCATAATTTGGAGAACGATTCATACGTTCTTCGTGTGACTTGTAAAAACTTCACAGCGATCCCTCCAGTCATGGGCCTGGTGCTGACAAATGTGTTGCTTCGACTGTCAGCTAGCATGAGATATTTTACTATACGGCTTATGTTTGACACTACACTCAAGCAAGGAATGGGGGCCAGTGATAGGGACAGACAAAGCCTGGAAAAAGTGGTCATTCTTGACCCTGTAGTGGACGTTCGAGTATTTCCTTGGTGGCATCCTAACTACCCTCACCAAGGCATGTGACACTTAGGTATAGTTAAGTGTTATTAAAATATTCTCATGCATTGCTATGTTTCATTTTGCTTCACAAAGTAATATTTTGAATTTATACCGTACAGCAGGTTATTTTTGCGACACCTAAATAATTTGATTTGATCTTATAAAGCTATATGATTTTCACAAACCCTTTAATGTGCCATTTTTGTAATGATAATAACGAAATGTCCTGAAGTCATTCAGCTTTTACTATAATACTGAGAGTAACTCAGTAATCCTTTGGTTTTTTTTCTTTAAGAAACCAAAATGTATCCTAATAGTGACATATGGACCAGAGTCTATCTCCACATGTAAAAACCCATTTAAAAAGGTTACAAATGTCCTCATTTCTCTGGTGATTTCTTGTAAGTTTTTTTTCTCATTAGAAATCAATTGCCTGAGATGTGATACTTTAAAATCTGTGCAGTGTACAGTTGTGCCTAATATTATATCTTTCCAGCAAATTCAGCAAAAATTACATGTGGAAAGAAACCTGTTATATGGTATAAATGATTTATATATTTTCATCATGTTCAGAAATATGAAGGAGCAAATGTTCAAGCTGTGTTCCAGATTTTTGTAAAAGATACGGTAAACCATTGGTCGGTCAGATAAAAGTGAATTAAATATTGTTGAACTATTAGGATTATACAAAATGATGCTTGTGAAAATACTTTAGAATTAGAACTATCAGAGTTAATATCACCCATCACTAGACAGAAAATTATTTTTATAAAAAAAAAAACATGTGTTTGAACAACCAGCTGAGTCAAATTGACTTGCGATTTACCATTCCTGAGAGTAGCCATGTCTTTGGATCAAAGATAAACACATATTTATGTAGGTATTATATATATGAAAAATGTCTCATTAAAAAGAAAACTATCTTCGTTTTAACATTAGTGAAAATGGTTCCTTTTTCAAAAACATATCATAATATATTTTGATAAACTAGCTGTTTGGAAACTCGTACTTAAATTTCTTCGGTCAACTTAGTTTTGGAATAGAGTTTAAATTCAAGCACATATTAACATCATCTAAATGAGTTGATAGTATAGTTTTTTATCAAAGATAAGTTGGGTTTTTTATGAATTTGATTTTATTTTCTAATGATTTTTTTTAATTATATCATATTAATTATTTTCAAAAGTACAGATGATGTTTCTTAAAGTTTTAGCACCAGATCCATAGAAAGACATCAAAATATTTAATTTATATATCATTATTAAATATGTTGCTTTTTAGAAAGAAAATTTCAGTCTTTTTTTGCTAGTCTAATGAATTTTACTATAGTTTTCACTTTTTAAAAATGTTGCCTCATTTGTTTTGTTAACTGGTCATTTGATTAATTTGATATAAAAAAAATAAACACAATTTGTAATTACATTGTTTTGTATCACTTGATTTCCATGGAAATATTTTAGTAAGATTTTAATAGGGATATAAACAGTTACATCATTCAACTTACAAAAGAGAGAGACAAAATGTTCAGATTTCTTATACAAGTTGTTTTGTAATAAAAAAAATAATTTCCATGAGGAGTTGTCTCCCCTTACGAAGGATACACATTCCAAATCATCCACAGTTACCCAAGGTCCTTGTATTACAAGTTTAAATCTTTGATGATTACGAATATGAAATGGCAATATAATGATGCTTAATTATTTAATTTACTCAATTAAAACATGTTTATGTTTGTTTTATTGTTTGTTGACGTTGTTTATGGACAACACTCTCTACTTATGTCTATAATCCATAAAAAAAACATATTTAAAAAAAAAATTGAATTTTTCTATGTGTAATGGGTTTTTTAGTTGAAATATGGCTTAGATTTTACATTATCCTGGACCAGATATGGAAGGAAAAACCTATGATTTCACGGAAACGCACTGATAATGATTCCCAATATCAAAGTGTTCCTGGGACAAGACATACTGCAAAATAAATTAATTTTTGTTGGACTTAGTTGTTGTGCCTTTTCAAAAAATAACATTGTCTTGAACACATGATTTTGTGTATAATTATAACTTGATAAATCTACTTATATTGATTTAATAGTTTGTGGACATGCAAGTATGTGGAATACAAACAAAATCAATGAAAATAAAGTCCTCACAAGAATTAATGATTTTACAGTGTGTCCCTTAATTATCTTCAAAAGGAGCTATCAGCCTATGATTGGTCATTTTTTCCCCTAGAACCAATCAGATTACTTCGTTTATGTATTCAATTTTGCCAGACCATTTCCATTATTGCAGACAGCGAAAGTGATCAAATTCCTTTGAGAATCGAGGACGCATTATATGGAAAATAAAATTCATTTTCTCTGTGACCTTTAGATCATTATTTGAGTTTCTCTTTATGTCTAATTCCCTGGAAGTACATCAGTAAGGTTTCTGTGAGTTTTTGTACTTACCTAACACAGAAAAACATTTGGTATGACAGTGTTGGAAATCATTCAACTTTACAGCTTACAAGTATTGTTTTATGAACTTCTTGTCACTCTTTTTCAAGACATAACTTAGGATTTAAGTACGTAAGTTGATTTTTTTATTTGTGGATGTGAAATTTTGAATATTTTACATAATATTATCTATTGAAAGTAAAGGATATAAATGATGTGTAGTGTATTTTCTGCTATATTTGAACATTACAAAATACTTGATAAGGTATAGTCTTTTTCTTAATTGTACAATTAAAGCAGAGAAACATGCTTATGTTAAATTAATATTTGAACATTACAGAATACTTGACAAGGTATAGTCTTTTTCTTAATTGTACAATTAAAGCAGAGAAACGTGCTTATGTTAAATTAATATTTGAACATTACAGAATACTTGACAAGGTATAGTCTTTTTCTTAATTGTACAATTAAAGCAGAGAAACATGCTTATGTTAAATATGTTTGTGTGTTTGACAGCTTCTGTGTTGGAACTTAGAGTTGTCTTAACAAGCTTGACATATTTGCTGATGTGAGTGAATATCATGTGACAGACCATGTGATAGGTCATGTGATAAGTGATGTGGTTATTGGTTAAGCATATGCATTGTTATTACAGTGAATAAAAAACAGCAATACAAAGTATAAATGTTACTGTATTCATTTTAGAAAGAACGTAAAGAAAACCATATAAACTTCAATGAATTTTAAATAATTACTTTCGTAACATCTGGATTTCCTAGAGAAAGTCAACAAAACTTAAGAAGCTTAAAGGTTATTAATGTAAAAAAAGATTTAAAGTTGTTGACTCTCAAAAGATACACAGCTTGCGCCAAAGTCACGTATAAGGAAATTTAGCCCTTCACAAGTTCAACCAAGCAGGCCACTGATTTTAATATCCTTTAAATATTCTGTACCTTTTGATGTGGAACTCATTCTGCCTTGACCTAGATAAGGGACCAAAGCAGATCTTTTGATTGTTAGCTCACCTGGCCCAAAGGACCAAGTGAGCTTATGCCATAGCGCGGCGTCAGTCTTCCGTCAGTCATACGGCCGGCCGGCATTCGTCAACTTTTCATTTAAACGACTTCTTCTGAAATACCAAAAGGCGTATAGTTATCATATTTGGCAGGAAGGTTCCTTTGATGAAACCCAACAAAGTTTGCAAAAAAAATAACCTTGACCCATATTCAAGGTCATAGAGGTCAAATGTGTTAAAACATTTAAACGACTTCTTCCAAAATACTGGAAGGCCTAGAATCATTATATCATGGCTGGAAGGTTCCTTTGATGAAGCCCAACAAAGTTTGCAAAAAGAAATGACCTTGACCCATATTCAAGGTCACAGAGGTCAAATGTGTTAAAAATTTTTAAGCGACTTCTTTTAAAATACTGGAAGGCATAGAATCATTATATCAGGCTACTATGTTCCTCTTATGGTGTCCTAAAAAAATTGCTAAAAGAAATGACCTTTACCAATCTTCAAGGTCACAGGACTCAAATGTGTTAAAGCATTTAAACAAATTCTTCTGAAATATCGAAAAGCCTAGAATCATATTTGGCCAGTATGTTCCTTTTATGAAGTCCAAGAAAGTAAAAGAAATGACCTTGACCCAAAGTCAAGGTCACAGGGGTCAAATGTGTTAAACATGGAACATTTGCACAGATATAGTAATGTTGGTCATAAAGATCCAGGTGAGCGATACAGGCCCACTGGGCCTCTTGTCTTCATCTTAGCATACTCATGGTACAATATTACGACATTGGGCCTTTCCTTTATTTTTTAATCGCACAAAGAAATAGAATATTTCTCAATGAACCCTCGGGGGAATCTCTCTAGCTCTCTAGAAAAGATTCAACCTTCGGGGAAAGATTATTAAGCAAGCCTCATGTTTGGAAACTTAATAATCTTCTCCTTCGGGTCGAGGCCCCCCTATATTACTCTGATGGGAGTAAAAGATTCTGTTAGTCTTTAATTTCTGGTCAATAAACTCGTTATTTGAAGGCAAGACGTCATCATTATATCTGAAGGTAAAATTGGGGACTTTTCAAGGTCTGTGTAACTTATTTTGATATGGTCTTAGATAAATACAGCTTCGCATGAAAACAGAACAAGTCAGCCAACAGAGAAGCACAGTTAGTTTCGATTGGTATGCCAATAGTATGTTGGATCTTACCGCCAAACTCGAAGAATATCTTGTCAACCAGAAACTCGATCATTCTATATGATATTTCACGAGATATGCTACGGTAAAGTTCTGTACTGTGGTCAGTAAGGGTATTGGCATTTGTACAAGTATGCGGGACGGAACGACGTGAGTACACTTCATTGGAGTTGTTTTAACATGTTTTGTTATTTGGATGAATAAACAACAAAAGGAGAAAGTAGGATAAATGATTTATTTATTTACTGCCAATATCAGACTGAACTACGCTGTTTGCGTGCTATCGTAGCCCTACTTCGTTCAACCATAATCAACACCAGGAAACTGATATCGTCAATCTTATTTATACACTTTGTTTGAGTCGAAATACGGATAAGTCGAAATTTTTTCAACGGCCCCTTGAATTTCGAGATAACGAGTTTCGACAGTATCTTGTATCATTTTTGAGATATTTTGACAAATAAGATATTTGATCAAAACATACCTCATATTAACTCCATTTAAGATGTAAAACACATAAGATATTATCAGATGATATACGATTGCTTTAAAATTTGTACAATATATATTTCTTTATCATATTACAGTACAAGTCCCATCCAATGTATAACGGTACCCCATACAAACAATTATTACTTTGCGAAAATGTATCAGTTTTTAGATTTTGAATTTCATCTAGATCTTTGTGAAATTTAATCTACAGTTTATATGAAGTTAGATTATTCACACAATACAAGATATACAAATCTATTTCAATATTTATATTTTCTATACAAGTAAAGATACTATGCGAGGATGGTAGAGTTGAGTTAAAACTTTGTTATTTCCTTTGAAAAGTTTGACGATTCAAAACATACACAAAAATATACATGATATTTAGCGTACATAGAAGTCCAATATTCCGCCGTTGTACACATACACCTATATATTTCATCACACCGCGCGACATACCTCGTCACCTCGTGTGAATTATCCGCGGATATCACGAACCGGTGGTACGATACCGGATGTAATACTTTAAATCTGAATATGTGCGACAATACAATCGTCAATTAATGTGCAAAGCACAGCTTGGTAAAGAAACACGTGAGATTTGACAAAATGAAACACTTTATTCGCGTCAATATTTCCGCGGCCTTCTGAAAATACTGACCGCTCCACGCGTCACACTTTTGGCTGTGCGGGTACATACAGCACATTTTTTATTCATTTCCAGGAAGCATTCGAGGCAGTAAACACCATCGCATCCAGGGGTGGAACAGATATGGAATTCTGACACTCCGTTGAATTCCTCCTGACAAACTAGACATGTGGTCTCCCCTTTTGGCTTACAACTGCATGTCCCTGGGATGTGATCTAAGACACATAACATAAAGGGAACTTGAGACAAGAGAGAGTTGCCCTTTCGTCGAGATTTCAGGTTTTTAGCACACCACATAAGTTTGGATGCACGTTTAAGAGTAATTTTTTCATGCAGGTATTTGATACGTTCTTTTTCCTGTTGTGGATAAAAATAGGCAGCAATCTTGCTACGCATGCGCAATCCATATGCTTGTGTGAAAATAAAGACAAATGCAACTAAATATAAACCAGAAAGCACAAAGTTGGTCTGCACGTCTGGAATGTTCGGGTCAGGTAAGCATTGAGTAATGTTAAAATCAACGTCAAATACAGTTTCGATTTCAAGAACCGCTAACACACTTTCTATCATTTTTGCAATAAATCCACTCCCCATGACATTCAGGGAAACGTTGCTGTCCCCTGAAATGCTAACGTTGATCTTGCCAAATCTTTGCATGATGCTGAGAATATAATAGAGAACATAGTCAGCTATAACAGTCACAATTGTTATCAGCAATTGAAGAGTAACAGAGATAGCACCCGATCTTACCAACTGCAATTCTGCAGAGGAGAGAAGAATTGACCTCGTGTCAATGTACTTTCTCTTTTCTACCTTTTTCAGAGGTAAAACTGACTTCTTCCCTTGTTGTTTTCGTCTATCGTCATACTTTTTAAACTGCGTGGATATGTATTTGTTGTCAAAGTGGTCCTTTTTACGATATTTCTTGACGTATAACGCCGATCGAATGAAAAGGAACAATAGAGGGAATGCTAGAATGTATTTTATAACTGTGATTATGTCGTTGATGAACTGGGTCCTTGCCTCGATGTCGGCGCGAACATTCGCTATGATGTGTGCTGCATTTTGGGAGGAGTTGATCTTTCCATCCAGATCGGCATTTGAACTTACACCAAATTCGAAAAAGTCAGTAAGTGTAAATATGATATCACGTATTTCCTCCAATGCTACATCCGTGACACCTTGCAAGTTGGTCAAGACATTGCAGAAAAGTTGCCCTGGTTTGACGACATCACATACATCGGATACATCAAGTATTTTGCACACGGCGGTAGCAAACCGTTTATGCCTGCAAAATAAAATTACAGGAAATGCAGTTACGAATATCAGAAAGAAATTTTCTTATCTGCGGAGGAAACATTTTACTTAATGAAATGCTGATAACTGTAAAATCATATAATTTCGCGGTGCGCAATTTGAGTGCTTTTTCAAAAAAAAACAAAAAACACCATTTCGTGTACATTTGATAACTTGAATAAATACAAATATATCAGTGTGATTAAACCAATGATGATAGATCGTGAACGTGCAAATTCATATTTCAATAACGAGCACCCACGAAATCACCGAAAATAAATCCAAGGCGAAAAAATTGAAGAAACTACAGTGTTAGAAAAATACATACATTCAACAGTAAATAACACTTTTCATAAATGGTTATACCAAAGCACTAGTATTTGCATAAAAACTTCAGAAATAGAAGCAGAGCTCGTTTATCATTCGTCGTTCCAGAGTTGGTTAGCAAAATGCTATGGATTGAAAGTATTTTAATCTAGTGGCGATTTGATTTTGGTTTATCATTGATTTACGTCCTATCAACAGCAAAGGTCATTTAGGGACGTGCCGTGATTGGTTGGTGGAGGGGAGCCGGAGATACTGGAGACAAGGCATTAAGCTATATCTATAACCTAGAAACTGACCCTCATACCCGAGGTCCCACCTCGAGGCGAGTTTTTCTCACTATCTAATTACAAGACAATGACAATAAACTTCACCTTCTTTTCTGGGAGCACGTCATCGGACGGTAAATATGTTGCCATGGCACTGACCAATCACATGCCCTCTTTCTGCGTCTCTTTCCAAACACGTCTCCAATGGCACCAATACCGCCTTTGACCACGCCTCCTATCGTGTCAAAAGTGTCCTTGACGTCGTTACCGAAATCGTCGATAACGCCTAACTCATTTTCACAATCACTTCTGGCTTTATTTATTCCGTCAACACATTTTTGATAGACTTCATTAACACCTTCGCTGCATTCCTGTCAAAATGAAAAAGAGTATTCTTTTGCAATTATATCATTATTATGCTGATGTTTTGATATATGTACATGTATTCAAATACATTATCATCGTCATGAATTTTACAGTGCACACAATGAACAAGAATAATCCCCCCTTCCTACTGCTACATGCATATATTCCTGAAAATGCAGTTGATAATGTGCATCGATGAATAAAAGTTTTGACATATTTCTGATGTAAAAATTAATGCATGCTTTATATAGGTGCAGAATCAAACATGGCCCGAAACACTCAGAATATAAAGCAATATATAGTCCCGTTTGATAATAGAGCGGATTGGTACAATATATTTCCAACTTCGGGAAATCAAAGTTAGCTTCGTGTAAAATATTCCACTTTATGTAATGTACAAACGTTTTGTCTACATCATCAAAGAAATTCAGTCGTTTTCAAAAATATCTAAAATATTGACGGGACTTAAAATGAAGACTTCAGCAGCTATCGATTATCTGGGCGATTCGCTACCAACTCCTCCGTCCTCCCACCCTACCAACCCCCGTCGTATCCTATATCCCACCATACTGTTAACCAAATTCTTTTCACGGTTATTGGTTTTCGCGATTTTACTCCCATAGACGTTATGTTAAGTAGCAAAATAGAGTTGAACAGATCTTAACTCTTTGATCATGATGTTAGAAAGTATACATTATCGCGGCGATTGATTTTCGCGACTGTTCCGATACACGAACATCGCTAAAATAAATCACTCCCAGATATTTGTTTGCTTGCAGAACATTGTACTTACTGCATGTACAAAAAGCACTTTCTACATATACATACCTTTGCAGCCTCTTTTAGACGAGCTGCCGCCTGTTTCACCTTGCCGTTGAACTCTTCGACTCGATCTCTAATAGGGTCGATAACCTTTTGTAAACCCTGACCTGCTTCTTGCAAGTTTTCTAATGAATTCTTAATTTGTCTAGCAATTTGTATGATTGGTTCCTCTAACTGCCCTCGGAGAAGCTGACTTTGGTTATAAATCAGTTCGGACGTACACGCCATACTGATAGACACTTGGTTGGCGTTGTGCGAGATGTTCATCACTGGACCAGACAGCATGATGCCGAAAATGGTAGCCATTATGGCTACCCTTCCCCGTCCAGTGCATAACGTTGGAACCATTAAAATCACGACACATCGGAAGTGAGTGGAGACCGCCAGACCTATGCACATTACCAGGGTGATTCCTATTGTAATCCAACCAGACACAATATAGCTGTAACCAAAGCTAAATGTGATGAGAACGTAAAATATGCCCGCACAAAGCAGGCCCCATAATATGCCGAAAATTCCTTTCAGACAGCGATGATTCTTGGTTCTACTAAGGAATAGTTTATGTAGAAAGCTTTCTGGATTTTCTTTTATTCTTTTCCATCGTGAGGGTGGCTTATCCACATCCGTAGTAGATTTATTTTTCTTCATGATGAATTTAGTGTTCCATAGCACTAAAATGAAAGTAAGAGAACTTGTTATATATAAGACCTGGCTTAAAACAACATCAAAGACCAAAATCACATCACCATTATAGATTACACACCCAAAATGAAATTATTTGTCTCAAAAAACTTGCCAAATTATTATACTCAATATCAGACACGAAAAAGCTGATGATATCTCGATTGTAAAAAAGGAACCATGCCATGCTTTAAATGTTGACTCGAATGAACATCCTTTGAAGGCTAGAGTATGAATCCTTCAATGCGCCCATTAGTTATGATAATCTAGCTGTATTACGATCAAAAGCCATTACTAAAATCGATATTCAAAAATATCGATCTGACACAATCTGAAGCCAAAAACAAGTGTGTGTGTGTGTGTGTGTGTGTGTGTGTGTGTGTGGGTGTGTGTGTGTGTGTGTGAGGGTGTGTGTGTGTGTGTGTGTGTGTGTGTGTGTGTGTGTGTGTGTGTGTGAGAGAGAGAGAGAGAGAGAGAGAGAGAGAGAGAGAGAGAGAGAGAGAGAGAGAGAGAGAGAGATATTATTAAGAAAAACTAATATCATTCGATGCTTAATAACCGTGGAATGATTAACATTAAAAGTATTTAATATTTCTTTATTTCTTTTATAATGTTTGACATGCATTTTTACAATAAGACCAAACAAACAATTTGTGGTACGAATTTGGTTTTATCATATTAATCATAGGAAGTGTGAATTCCGAGCAAAGACAGCCTTACCAACATCTTCCGATTGTGCTGGGTTTTGCTAAATTTTGGGTAAATGTCTCACCCACTTGATAATTTATACTACTTCCGACATGACCGGGGATGCAATGTAAACAGAAACGGATGCAGGACACGTATAACGTGTACATGTACCACATTACAATCACAGGCGTGCTTATTTCATGGACAGTACAAAAGACTTTTGTACCCTATTATGACCACTATCTCAACTCATCACCATTAAGTGACCTTTCATTTTAGTGAGTAACACCTGTGTGTTAGAAAGGTATTGGCATTAATAGCCCCATCAGGTGTATGATGTAGTTAACTTCATGGTATTTTGTATTAAAAGGTGTTATTCACTTTTGTGTATTTTGTACAATCATCTCAGCTCAACAAGCTCCGACCCACAGATGGCGTAACTCTTTGTCCAGCATTGAAGATCTGTCTGGATTGCAACCTTTCACTTCAGCTGAGTAAGGACAAAATATTGGAATATTCAAAATAGGAGTTCTCTAGTTATACCAGACTTTGTGGATTCCGTGACTCCAGCTTTAGCTCCAGATCAAGGCAATACCTACTTTAAGTATATTTCACGAGTGCGCACAGCTATTTATGACATATTCACAAGCTAAATAGTCACATTACTAGAAATTTTAGAACAGAAGTTGACTAGGCTTTTCGTGAACACAACTCACTCATGATATCTTCGCGGTACACAACAAAATATAGTCCTTTTTAAAAAAATCCTTTAAAATACGTAAACACAAAAATAAAATTCATTGTAAATTGATTTTTATATTCACATAGCAAATATTACTTATTCATGTCACTAAGAGGCAAAATTTACTGTAAAACATGGCAACATCATCATAATTTAAACTCATATTCCATAACAATAGGGCAACATATGAACAAAAGAAAGATTTACTTGGAAATTCCTGAAAAAGTACAAGGAAAAGAAGATCAGGTGTTCCGAAAGAGTAAGCGTCTCATGCTCCATCGACGACACCCGGCATATATGCCGTGGTCAATCCAAGTAAGTAATGTCACGTTCTCAAATGAGAACAAGGTTTACAACAACGGAACCAACAGGCAAACAAACGAGTATTAAATACGTCCAGATTCAAATGAATAGAATATTTCTCAGTGAGATCACTAGGGCGACAATAAAACCATAATTTCCATCAACCTGCGTCTTTTGAACCCTTGTGTTACGGGTTTGTCAGTCAATTGACAACTTCTTGCATGAAAATCGTGATAATGGGTACAGGCCCATGAATATCGAATCAACTGTGACGTGCAAATACGTTGGATTGGAGATGCAGGTATAATGCTATCCAGAAATGGGAAATCCACAGTAGGGAAATTGAAATCATCACGTTTATCATATAGATTGTTGGAAATCTGTCTATGCTGTTTTCGTTGTAGGCAAAGATTGAGATAAGCAACTGATGAAGAAGAGTCTGTCGTATCTTTGATAAGCTCTTCAATAAATTACGCCTCGTATGAAAACAAAAACAATTCAGCCAACAGAGGGGTGCAGTTGGTTCCCATAGGTATGCCAATCGTCTGTTGGAAGATCTTAGAGTTCAAAGAGAATTTAATCTGAGACAGGTTACTATGCGATTGAAAATATGTCGCTGGTAATGACGCGAATCCCCTTGAAATGTCTAACGTGTTAGCTCCATATTCAAGACGTTTGGTTGGGGATTGGGTTTGATATCTGATAAGGCAATTTGTGTTGCATTGTTTTCGGATTTCATGGAAATAAACATTTTCCGTGGAATTGAAGGTCGTATCACAAGTAAACAATCCCTTCAGATGTTTGATTTGTATGTTTTGTAACGGGCTTTATGATTTGTCAGTTTTATCAGATGATTTGTGTGCTCTCTTTGCATTGCCGTAAGTCTGCATTAGGGAAAAATAACACTTTTGATCAATGAGATATTTCTCTATATTTCACTGGCAAAAATGTAAAAAAAAAAATATATACATATTTCTCTCACTGTGAATATCTTTCACTTCAGGGACACATTTTTTCCTAAGCGGGTGTCAGAGTCTACAATCTATTCTTTCTACTCGCTATCTGATAGATTTAAGTAAACACAAGTTGTGTATAAGTTTGAAAATTCTTGCATCCGACCTTTCTCGATGCCGGAGAACTAGAAAATGAGTATTTAATGCCCAACAGTCAAACATGCACGTGCGTTCTTTCTTTTCGAAATTTCAACTTGACGTAAAAGTAGTAAATATCTTAAATAAGGACCATGGATGTTAGTTAATGTCCATAATCAGAACCAAGCCATGAGTGTATTTAAATGGTCTTTAACTCGGATTGTAAAATCAGAATTCTGAATAAAAATATTGATTTCAAGTATGTTGATTTTTGCATTCAATTCATATATTCATTATATCAAAGCATCATATCTTTTCTCTTAAACTTAACAGTTAACTAGAAAAAGTAAAAGAAAATATTGAAAACTTTACCTTCCGTGTTTGTTCTCAGTGGGTTGTCTGCAAATGGCTTGCGCTTCGGAGGACAATGTGGTACATTGGACAGAGATCCATAAGGTTAAGTACCACATCCTCATAACTCACGTCCATATCCGTCACACCAAAAGCAAATGAATTACTTCCCGATGTACACACTTCGCCAGAAAATAGTACATTTTAAAGTGTATGACCTTTATGATAGTACTTATATAAGCAGCTGCAATATGTACAATTATTATAGTATGTTATCATCTTCAGTCATACCCCCATTCATCAGTTCCATTTTTTCTGTCTGTTCCCCTATTGAAGAGATCCATGTCTGTATACCGTGGGTTTTCTAATGAGTATAAGTAAAAAACTTATATTTAAAATTTAACCTTTTACTCAACACTGCCTACTCTTTCGTGGAGGGGGTAGGAGAAAGATAATTGTGTGTAGTTATAGCGTCTTGTCGTTTAGGTTGAAAAACGTAATTCATGTATCATATACTGGCTAAAGAAATGAATGAATGACTCTCCCCTTCCTCCCTCCCACCGCCCCTCCATGCGACCCTCTTTTTCCTCTATGAAATCATCAATCCAGGTTCGATTATCATAGGCGTAAGAGGGTCTTATTAATTGGAAACGTGAGGTATATGGTAAATGAGCACTGGAGAGATATACATTGAAATTATGATTTTTTGTTTAAAAATGGAAAAATACATCCTTTTTTTATATGCCAGGGTCATACTATGGTAAGGCAATGTCCGTCTGTTTGTCTGTGGAAAATTGCTTGTCATTACTCTGTTTGATTCATTTTATTTGTATTGGGCCAATGGAAGCCCAAAAAAGGCCAAAGAATGACACTGGACAACGTTCCCGGTATTACCGATCGAACCGGCGCTGTCACCCGTTGTATTTGGACGTTTTTTTTTTAAAATTATAATCGATAATCTATCTGTTGAAAGCCAGTAATTATTAAATCGATTGTGAAAATCCCTAATTGATTATTGTGAACTATTTTTTTTTCACATACCACAGCTGCAACTGGTCCTGAATTAACACAGGTAGCATTTCTTTACAGGCTGATTAATTGATGATGATTGTTCAATCATGACAATAAAAATGACAAATAATAATAAATAATAAATAGCCAACCCTCTCAATAAAGATTGCAAGGAAATCTTGATACGAAACGTTCACAAACCAATTACATCATCGATCATTTTTTTTAACTTCGGTTTATGCGATAATTGATTATAATTTTCCAAACACTAACCATCCGCCACTTTGGGAGGGCTATTCTATACCCACAGTCTTCATCTTTCACACAGGGATAACTACATAGCAAGGATCTTAAAATGTATTTGATCTTAATGCTTTTTTAACCTGTGATAGACCCTACGTTTGTTTGGAATTAATGACTTTTTGTTACAAACAAAGATTTGGTAAACTGGATGTCATATTAGTCCTAATAAGGGCATGAGTTTTAAATTGGCTGTAGGGACACTTGAATGCCAAAGTTTCCTTATATCATTATTGGTGTATAAACTAGTGGTAACAACAGTCTAGTTTCATAAATAAAGCTGAGGTCGCCCTTTTTATATCAGGTATCTCAATCATCCATTATATATCAAATCATCCCATTTTTGGCTATTATGTGTGAAATCCCATGTAAAATCATCCTACGTGCATTACCTGTAAAATCTCCCGTGACATTATCACATTTTGTCTATTACAGGTGAAATACATGTGAAATCCACATGAAATCATTCTATGTTGACTATCATATGT